GCTCACATCAATACATAAATACAATCCCATATAACTTCATCCTAGACCCCCCCCCCACACCTAAAAATCAAATGGTAGCTCCCTAAGTTAGCAAACAAATTATTTTATTTTTACATTGACAAACCTGTATAACCTTGAAGCAGTATTAAGTTCATGTATTATCCCGCATATTATTACATGTACATTGAACTAAAACAAATAGTGGTCATTGTCAAAATTATAGTTTACAGTTTACTTTTCCAATGCTTTCAATTTAAGATTAGGGCATTTTTGTCATTGGAATTGAGTTTTGTAGTCAGAGATTACTCTAACCTCCAACGACTGTTTTGCGACACCAGCTAGGGCAGTGGGACTTCAGCTGGTCCCATATCAGATAGATGATATTTGCCTGTCCGAAGTGGAGGCGACTGGATTCATATTAATCAAGCCTCATTTTATTTATTTTTCTCTTCATTTAAGTAAGTTTGATCAACCTGCCACCCGTTATCTTCTCATATTTGGACAGTTTTCACATTGGCCCATCAATACTGGCATTTTAGAGGGTATGCAGAGTTCACGAAAATGGTCGGTCCTGTCGGTCAAAATGAGGCTCGGACCAGTATTTTGAAGGCTAGTGCCGGTCCCAATGACCGATGTAAAAACAGCCGTTGTAGTGCATATTTCGGCACTTTTTTACATCGGTTATTAGATGTACCGCAACTGTTTCCAATAAGTGTTTACATCGGTTATCAGATGTATCCGCTGCCAATTTCCGGTACTGGTTTACGGATTTATTATAAACAAACCAAAGCGGCGATCTACACGTGGCCTACTTAATTTGTCCATAGAGCCATCCCTGGCAAACAATCGGCGATTGAACCCTACAATGGAGCAAACAAATACTGTAACAGCCGAGAAAGTGATTCAGATGATGAAATGGATAGTGAAGATGACTTTAAATAAGAACAATCAGAAGACCTGAACTGGTCTTTCATTGTTAATTTGCCTGTGGGTGCGAAGAATAAAACTAATATTAATAAAGTTATTTTTCGATAAAATATGTTATCAATTTTTTTTCAGGATAAAATTGAGAGATTTTGTAGGACTGGCTAAAATTTTGTAGGACTGACAAATAATCATGCTTTGTCGGTCCCATGACCGATGGGTCAAAATAAGTTTTCGCGAACTCTGGGTATGAATGCCCTTTTCCGTCAGGCGTCAAACATGGTTAACATTTTACCGTGATTCTTCAACATATCCTTATCGTAATTCGTCAGAGGTTTCAAATAATTATCGTTACTGTTATTTTTGGGGAAAAATTAATGTGATTCGTCAAAATCTGTCTATTTTTTTATCGTCTTGAAGAAAGTATTTTATCGTCATGCACCAAAAATTATCGTTAACGTCATTTGGCAGGATTTTTTACCGTTATTCGTCATGAAGGTACCCCCATTACCACCCTCATTTTAACTTTCACTGTATAATGTCACATGACCAACATTATGGGAACTGATTTATGCAAATGACCCATATTCCATAGGAAAACATAATCTATATAAAACGAGCCTCAATTAGTTGATTTTTCTCTTCATTAAAGTAAGTTTAATCGACCTGCCACCCGCTATTTTCTCAAATTTGGACAGTTTTCACATCGACACATCAACACTGGCATTTTTTTTTAACTTTAAGAGATTGTGACATGACCAACAGAAAAAGTAATTTACAATGCATTACATGTATGAGAGCTGATTTATGAAAATGACCCTTATTCAATAGGAAAACATAATCTAACACCTTGTTCATTTATGATGCAAATAAGCTGAATGGCCGAGTGTGTTCAATTTGAAAATAAAGAGTTAAAATGCCGGAATCGCGAAAACAGATGTTGGACACCAGAGTTATCTCGGACTATGAGTATGAGTTTTGGGCAATTTGTAAGGAGAGGGGGGGGGGGGGGAGGGTTCAAGGGAAGCAAATGCTCTTTAAATTATGCATGTTTCAAAAATTGGGGAAAAATTACACAGAGAGTTGAGTCATTTTTTTTCAGACTTAATTCAAATAATGACTAATGTAGAATTACCTTCTAATTCTATAAAAAAAATTCACAACTACTGAACAGGAACAATCATGGTACTTTTTTACCTATGAAACTACACTATGACATCTGTAGATGATCTGATCTGCAAAACCTACAAACAGACACAGAAATATCATCAAATAGTGAAATAAAAGATTGATTGTACCTTGTATGGATAGTTCCGACACGTGTTACATGGGGAGCCCGTTTGTTTACAAATAATAATGTCACGTGATCACGCACTGACCGTCACAAATTTTTATCACACAATATTACTGTACTTACACAATTTACAAATGCATAACCCATTTATCTTGCGGACATGCAATGGGAATGTGCACGGTTATCAAAAACTACAAAAATATTGCATGTACAGTTAATGAAGAAGTTATTTCATCAAATAGATAAGATTTTCACTCATGACACAAATCGACTGGGTGTCGTCGCCATCGGGGATAATTGATAAATGGGATTAAATTGACCGCCAAGATGATGTAGAGAACCACCTCTGGAGAACCTTAACATTAATAAGTAATACTCACCAAAATTTCTCTATAATTAACGCTATTTTCTTTTGGAAAATTTCAGAAAGATGCTGATAAACTTATTTGGTGACACAGATTATTTTCTTGTATTGGCGCGAAATATATTCTTACTCTTAATGCTTGACGTAACAAAATTTGTATATAATTATATTTAACTAAAGCTCAGCGTAAATTTGCAGAAGCATGACAAAACATTAATAATAAAATGTGTAAATATTTCTGTAAAAGAACATAATTTTACTTTACCAGTATACTTCACTTAGAATTACATTTGAGCGCAAGAAAATCTCTATGTGAATCGGCTCGGGGTCGAAGTTCAACATTTCAACGGAAATTTTTGCGTGTGCTTGCGTTGCTTTAGATCGAGGCCACAGCTTTTCAACCAATCGGGGAATGTTTACTTGGGGCATACATCTATTTTTACTGCAGGTTTCGACATGTTTAAATCGGGATTATAGAAAAATGGAATGTTGTTGGTAGATACAGAACAGACAATGATGAACACTTTTAGCAAAAGATCAATTGGATCGGGGGTCTGTGAATTCACATTATTTGTACAACTCTCCTTACTCTTGGGAAGCGTGTGCTTTACATCGAAGGCTTGCGTTGCTTTACATCGAGGCTTTCGTTGCTTTACATCGACGCCATAGTAGTTCAACCAATCGGGGAATGTTTATTTGGGGCATACATCTATTTTTACTGCAGGTTTTGGCATATTTTAATCGAAATTAGAGAAAAATGGAATGATGTTAGGAGATATAAAACAGAAAATGATAAATATTTTTAGCAAAAGATGAATTGGATCGGGGTTCTGTGTATTCACATTATTTGTACAACTCTCCTTACTGATGGCAAAAAATGGAATTTCCGTGACCTAAATGGTTCGCGAAAATTAATATTTTTATATATATATAGTAATAATAATGATATGGTAGGAGATACACACCAAACAGGATGTGTAAATTATTATATAATAAGTATTGTGCAATAGCAAGAAATTTTCGATTGCACAGTATTGCACAATAGCAAGAAATCTTCAATTACACAGTATTGCGCAATAGCAAGAAATCCTCAATTGCACAGTATTGCACAATAGCAAGAAATATCCAATAGCACAATATTGCGCAATAGCAAGAAATTGTCAATAGCACAGTATTGCGCAATAGCAAGAAATATTTAATTGCACAGTATTGTGCAAAAGAAGATACTTCGTATAAATTGCTTATTTCTTGACCAATTTCAATGGGGTTTTATTCTTGAATTCTTGGGGTTCTTTAATATGCTGAATCTAACCGTGTATTTAGTTTTTGGATTTTGGGCCCCTTTTTAAATTGGTCCACATTGAGGTCCAAAGGGTCCAAAATTAAACTTTGTTTGATTTCATCAAAAATTGAATTATTGGGGTTCTTTGATATGCCGAATCGAACCGTGTATTTAGATTCTTAATTTTTGGTTCCGTTTTCAAATTGGTCTACATTAAGGTCCAAAGGGTCCAAAATTAAACTTAGTTTGATTTTAACAAAAATTGAATTCTTAGGGTTCTTTGATATGCTGAATCTAACCATGTATTTAGATTTTTGATTATGGGCCCAGTTTTCAAGTTGGTCCAAATCGGGGTCCAGAATTAAACTTTGTTTGATTTCAACAAAAATTGAATATATGGGGTTCTTTGATATGCTGAATCTAACCATGTATTTAGATTTTTGATTTTTGGGCCCCGTTATCAACTTTGTCCACATTGAGGTCAAAAGGGTCCAAAATTAAACTTTGTTTTATTTCATCAAAAATTGAATTCTTGGGGTTCTTTGATATGCTGAATCTAACCATGTATTTAGATTTTGGATATTGGACCATAATAGGTGAATGTCCAATTTAAAATTTTTAAGTTCTTAGACCACATTCATTCTGTGTCAGAAACCTATGCTGTGTCAAATATTTAATCACAATCCAAATGCAAAGCTGTATCAAGCTTGAATGTTGTGTCCATACTTGCCCCAACTGTTCAGGGTTCGACCTCTGCGGTCGTATCAAGCTGCGCCCTGCGGAGCATTTTATTATGATATACAGTAACAAAGGACAACCACTGAATTACAGGCTCCTGGCTTGGAATAGGCACACACATAATGTGGCGGGGTTAAACTAGTTTGGTGGTGCCAAACCCTCCCCCTAACCGGGAACAGTGGTGTAACAGTACAACATAAGAACAAACTATAAAAATCAGTTGAAAAGGGCTCATCTCATTAGATCGATTCAAAGCAGAAAAACATCTAACAAAAACACAGACCGGACGTGGCAGGGTATTTACATATCACTATAATAAAAAAGACACAGACTATTTGTGTTTCTTTTATAAAACTTTTGAAATAAGATGCTTCAGTTGTACTAATATTTTATTTCAGGATCTGGTTGCTTGGGTAACCCTAAGTGCAACACATATACCACACCGAGAGAACTATCCTCTTACATCAACAACAGACAATAACCAGTATTTCAGTCTCATTCCATTCAATCTATTTAACGAGGACCCATCTGTAAATTCTATTGACACCGTAACAAAAAGTGTAAATATACAACAATCAGGAGGATGAGTTATTTAACAAGGTACACTAAGTTCCAGCCAGCTGTTACTTTTATCAGTCTGATTTCATGGATATCAAGAAACTCAAATTAACATTTACAAGAATGCATGTTCTAAGAACACAAAGTCTGCGAGAAAACAGATATATCAGGAGAACAATGTAAACAAAGTTTGGAAATCAGGAAACACATTACAGCTCATTTCTGTGATTTGTCTGTTGAAAGGAACTAATGACAACTCGTCACCATAAAGAGGTTTCGCACTGACGTTTATTGCAAGCAACAGTAATCAGTTGCAATCTTCTGAGCAGTATCAATAGTCCGTTCAGATTGCTACTATATTATGGCAAGCCGTTCTCGTCAAAACTATGTTTAAACCCTTTTTTCGAAAAATTACACACTGAGAATTAAAACCTGAAATAACACACTGAGAAATCGAAATTACACACTGAGATTTAAAAAAAAGACACACTGAGATGAAATAAATTGAAAAACACACACTGAGAATTGTTAATTACACACTGAGATTTAAAAAATACACACTGAGATTATTCTGCACATTACTAATGAATATTGATGAGATGAATAATTCAACAGATTGATATCTTGGTCTCCCAAACTCTCGTCATTATAATAAAATGCGGTTCCTTCAACAAACATTCGTAATAAATTTCAAGACTTAACATCGTTTTTTGCTAACTCATATGCATGAGTTTGTTACCTATAATTCAGATTATTACTATAACAGTGTATCGGGATTTTTTGCTTAAAACTGTTTAAGCATGGGTCCTTTTCAAAAGTCTTTCAACTGTTACCCTGATTTCGCAAGGTAATCTTTTATATTTTTGTTACGTTTATATGCTATAATAGGCACTTGGGTAAAAATGTCACTGCATTGTTTGTCTTTTTGCCGATTGTTCCAATGTTTTCTTATAATTTAATAAAGTTTTTCACCATTTGATTATATTTTGTAATGAGAGTAAGTGTGTATTTTTCCTGTTCTATTGGTCTTTAATAACGTTGTTTTTTCTACACGTTGTATTTCTAATGTTTTTATTAAACACTTGGCGCCAATTTGAAGGACTGCATTGTAACGAGTTCTGTCCCCTGGTTGCTTTAAGCTTGTAATAGATTCAGATTAAGTATGCTAATTAAATATGTGCGCATAAAAAGTGCGCACAAATCTCAGTGTGTAATTTTAAATTCTCAGTGTGTAATTTCAAATTCTCAGTGTGTGTTTTTCAGTTTATTTCATCTCAGTGTGTCTTTTTGAAATCTCAGTGTGTAATTTCAATTCTCAGTTTGTAATTTTCAATTATCAGTGTTTGTTTTTCATTTTTTGTAATCTCAGTGCGTCTTTGAACGGAAGCGTATAAGCGCCACACAACTTTTTTTTTAAATATTTCTTCCTATGTTTGCGTTATTACGCAAACATTTGCGAAATAACGCAAACCTTTGCGTTATAACGCAAACATTTGCGAAATAACGCAAAAATTTGCGAAATAACGCAAACCTTTGCGTTATAACGCAAACATTTTGCGTTATAACGCAAACATTTGCGAAATAACGCAAACCTTTTGCGTTATAACGCAAACATTTGCGAAAAAACGCAAACCTTTGCGATATAACGCAAACATTTGTTTTATCTTATTTCTTATTTAAGGTTCAAAGGAAGCAGCTGTTATTAATGGATGAGGCTGCATATATTAGAATTTATCTCCCTTTGTACTCATTGCAAAGTAAAATGCTTGAATATTTAGAACATATCATTGATTAATAAAGAGCAGGATAATACATGTATATATAATCACAAAGAAAATTGAGTAAATTGAAGTTATTACGATAAAATAAAAAATCAACCCTGCTAATATAGCTATGAATATATCTGCAAAGTAAGCTTTCGTTTGAGATTTTTTCTGAACAATTCATTTTAAAGCAGAAAGATCAATTTGTCTATTTGAATTGATAATTTCACAATTGTATGACATTATTTTGCCCTGATCTACTTAATCAAAATTTGCCTATTTCTTGTTAAATTATATATTTTTTTTATACAAAAACCATTCTTAATTTGTGTAAATTGCACTTAAAGTATTCCCTTATTCCTATGCATATTTATAAGTAATGATTTGGCCTTGTATTTATGGATCTTCTATTAACTAAATCACAACCGGAATTCAATGACAGAAGGACATAATACAAAACTTAATGAATAATTGCAATCAAAATGTTTGCGTTATAACGCAAACCTTTTAGTTAATAGAAGAACCATAAATACAAGGCCAAAAGGTTTGCGTTATATCGCAAAGGTTTGCGTTATAACGCAAACATAGGAAGAAATGTTAAAAAAAGTTGTGTGTCGCTTATACGCTTCCGTATCTTTGTGCAATCTCAGTGTGTAATTTTTAATTCTCAGTGTGTGTTTTTAGGTTTTTTAATCTCAGTGTGGTTTTTTTTTCAATTCTCAGTGTATAAATTTTTCGAAAAATGGTTTAAACATAGTTTTGACGAGAACGGCTTGCCATACTATATATTTGTGTCTGTCATCTTTTCTATTGTAGAGCTGAAAGTGAAAAAGCAGACATCATTGTACCCATAGTTTTTTTATTTAATTTTGATGTATTGCATGAAGGCAATAAATCAACTGATAAGACAATACATCATCTGTTCTGGATTATTGACAAACTATGTTTCACAGTTATAATTATATGCATACAAATGCCCGGTATGAAGATGGAGGCAGTTGTCGTAGGAAATGCTAACCGTCTGTATTAAAAATTTGTAAAATAAACAATTGTACATGCAGATGCATGAAACAGTCAAAAATAAAAAATACGTTAAACATTCAACTTCAAATATTTCTGAGACAGAATAAGAGATTGACAACAAAATTAATTTATTTCTATTTCAATATTGCGAAAACTTCAAAAGGCTCACTTGGCCCGAATGACCATGTGAAATTTGTCTTCACTTTGCGTCTGTCATCGGTAAACTTTTCTTTAAAAATCTTCTCGTCTGAAACAGCACAATGGATTGAAACCAAAGTTTATCTGCTTCATCTGTAGGATGTCTGCTATAAACTTTGTGATTTTCTTCCACGTTGATCAACTAATATGGCCACTGTCAGAAACAAATAGAACATAGGTTTTTTGGCTTATATCTCTTATTGGGTAGAAATGTTCATCAAGACGAGATTTATCAACCGTGAACATTTTAGAAAAAAATGTGTTAACCCGTTTTGAGTAATTGCCCTTGAAGTTTAGTTTTTCTTAACTTTTTTGCAGTTCTTGGCTATTTTCACGAATAGGAGCTTGTTTAAAATGTTTAATTTGCAAAAATGATCAGTAAGACAAGATCTATTTATCCGAAACATTTCAGAAAAAAACTGACTACCATTATAATATAAATCGCAAAAATTACCAGCCCAACAAGATCTTTAAGTTTTTGCATATTTAAGATCAACAGGACAAACAAAAATAGTGTGCAATTAAAGGTAAGACTTTCACTTTTTTTCACCACGCGAGCTTCTTGTTTAATCCCCTTTTGGTTTGTATAGACAATCAGATATCGTAAAATATCACCAGCAAGTCACACAATGTGTCAAGCGGAAGTCTATATATAGTTAAATGATATGCTCTGCATAATGCAAGACATAGGGATTCTAATCCAGTTACAGCGTCGTAATCTATTTGTTTATTGAAAGAAGACATGTCCATCAGCTCATGGTTCAGTGATCTCAACGTTGAGTCCGTTTCTTGGATACTGTCAGCGATAGGTCAACTAAAGTTTGTGTAAAAATGATTGCATGTCTATATGTCCGTCTAAAGGGTTCATCTGACCATGACCGTATTTTCGTGATTCATTAAGTCAATTACTCAGATACTATTAGCAATGCGTCAACTACAAATATAGAATGGTTATAATGTGTTCATAGCAGTCTGGAAAGGTTAATCTGACCGTGACCTATCATGGATCACTGATATGTCAAGTTTAAGTGATGTCTGTAATAGGACCTTGACCATAAAGAAACATCATCAGTTAAGAAATCGATACTTTCCAGCGTGTGCAATTTTGGTAGAATGTTGTATAATCTACATTCAAACCTCTGACCTTCAATATAGTTCAACAGGCTTCATTGAACACATAATTTGAGGACTTCACTACAGTAGTCATGAACACATTTTTCGAAGGGCACATATAGTTTGGTTTCCAGCATATTGTTATGATATTGTAACTATAATATTTATTGAGTTGGCCTAATTTGTTTTGTGTGGCCTTATGATATGTTTACATATTTGTACTTGTTTACAAAATGATATTGTAACTGTGCAGTTTAGAAATCACTGGAACAATCATAGAGACTGATGGAATGATTAGAACTTTCTATTTGACTTGCATAACTATTCCATAATGATCATAATAAAAGATGCGTAATTTAAACTTCTTACATTGTTCTAGAAGTTTCCGTTCTAAAGTTTTCTAGGAGTTTCCTTTCTACAGTTCTAAAGTTTTCTATAAGTTTCTGTGACAACTATATATATTTAGATATTAATGCAATATTGTTTGCAGTCTGATAAGCTATAACCCATCTATTAGGTTTTCTTATTTCATTGGTCAATGCCAAGGCAATATGTCAACTATATTGGGTACTAGTATGCATATTGATTTTAAGGTGAACATGTTCTTCTAGCAGGATTTACTGATATCGACCTAATGTTCATAGTTAATTGGTCAATGAAAGGGTTTCGTCATTACGTCTGTTTCTCAGATACTATCATAATTAGGCCAGCTATATTGGGTAGGAAGAATGATTGTAAGGTGTAAATGTCTGCCTGTCTGACAAGATTCATTTGACCTTGACTTCATTAATGATTATCATTGATCAATGTAAAGTTTCATGGTTGTCAGGGTTTTTTCAGATACTATAAACGATATATCAGCTATATTTGGTATATAGAACATCCTCTGAATTGTTGACATCTCTCTCCAACCCTTGATTTTAATTCTGTGGTGACCCCTGAACGATTTTAATGAGTACATGTCTGTCTGACAGGGTTCATCAGATCATGACCATGTTTGCATGGTTCATTGGTCGTTCTATTGCTTACAGTATATGACAAGAGGACCAAACTATGGAAACTTAACATTGACCAATGAGATGCTGCTGATTGTAATCCCTATGTCTCACGTTGCAGGCCAGACAAAAAGCTCTAGCTACTAGGTAATACTAAGGTCTGGATACAAATGTCATCCTATCTGCTGACTTTGTCCATTAATCCATCCACATAAATGTATCCAAACAGGTGCTGAAAAGGTGTTTAATCCAACAAAAAATCAATTCAGAAATGGGAGTTTCCTAGCATTAACAGATGTTCTATGTAAAAACTAGAAAGATTCTTAATCTTAAAGAGGAACAAAAACACCAATGCATTTTTTAAAGATTTTAATATCTACATATGATATATATACTGACATTTTATTTGTAAAGGATTGTAAAATCAATAGGTTGTAAAAATACATAGGTATTAATTAAAATAATTCTAGACAGATTGTTAATAAAAAAAATATACAAATGCTTTATCTTGTAAAATTATCACAAAAATAATATATAAATATTATCTAAAAATAATAATGAATGACTTAGAAAAAGCAGTTTGTATGTAAAAATGCAGTAATAGTCATTTTAAAATCTAGGAATGTTTTTGTAATAATCTTAAAATATCACTATCTTAAAGTATGGATTTCATCTTTTTTGCTAAATGCAACAATTTGAACATGGGGAATGTTTATAAGATCAACAAACCACAAAAATAAATTATCTCACAGCAGAACTTAGCAGGTGAAGATTTGATATTAAATGCATCATGTTTTATGACTGATAAAACTCTTTTTTTCCTTCTTAAAAAAAAATTATAATGAAAAGACATCATAGCACTTAATACTTATATGAGTTTCGATTTCAATCTGTTCAATGAAATTGGTGATATTTTAAAATTCTGACATTATGTTGTGAATATACTATGTTCTCTATTCTTTAAATCTCGTTATCATCATCAATTATTTGGTTTAATAATTATCCCAGTACAAAATTTCTGAGATATTTTCCATTTCTTTCCTAATCATAACAAACTATCAATACTGTCATTGTACATTAAATACTGTCAGCAGATTTGAACTGTGATTGTAGAAATATTAAAAATTATTGTACCAAAATAAGTATAATACTGTTCATAACTGAACTGTAGGGATTTAATGAATAAAAATAAGACACATTGAATATTAAAATAAATAACAAAAAAAATCAACATAAATTGTACTACCTGAATATATATATTAATCATTATATCTACAAATAAGGCCAAAAACTTGTACATTTAAAACTAAGACATAACATTATCCCTCCACAGGAAGAGAAACACATAAGTAAGAAAATATGGCAGAAGACTTTTTCTTGTTGTATCCCAACTGCAAAGTCCTTTAAGTAGTAATTATATGATTGAGGAATATTTTCTTCTCTATAAATGTCTCTGCTAGGCAACTGATGGTTTTGTTTTTTTTCTGCTATGGCATTGTTGCCACATTATTTCATTGTATTCTCTTTGACTATGTTATCAGAGGGCTTATATTGTCCTGTTGTCATTTCTTTTCAGTTTTAACCAAAAAACTGTGTACTAAAAAATATTACAGTCAAATCTGCAATAATGAATTGTTTTAGGGAATGCATATTAGAAAAATTCACTAGAATGTGTAGCTTTCTAATAAAATCACTTCAATATGACTTGAGATATTTTACTTGCAAACTCAACAATTCATACAGAATATCTTGGACAACAGCCCCCTTAAAAATTTAAATTCTTTTACAATATAAAGTTTGGCAGTAAAACAGATACATAGATTGAATATTATAAATGACACAAAATGATACTATAAGCCAGAATTTTGCACTAAATAAGCACATTAAACAAATTTACAGAATACTTGACTATCCATAAATTCACACAATAGTCTGGTAACTGAAGAGTTTGACAGAAAACCAAACTATTAGGAAGGAAATTTCACCATTTGTTATTTAAATTCATTTTTATTTGTTTCTATAACAAACATAAGTTAATATTATTCTCTTAATATATAAAATGAGGAGGAAATTATTGCCAATGTTGAAGAGGTTGAAATTTCTTTTTTTTTTAATAAAGCACAAAAGATTTTCATATTCCATTGCCAGTATATATATATCTACAAACACAACAATAAGTTTGGCACATTACGTGTGTACTAAACTATATCTGTTTATAATGCTTCAACAAAAACAAAACAAATACAAAACATTTAAAGCTCTCTGGAACAAATTGAATTTACATGTATAATGAAAATCTGAAAGGTTGGCAGGAATTCTGATTTAAAAGAATAAAAATAGATCTCATGTGTATAACAAACAATTGCAAAGTACAACAAAATTCTTAATATGAATCATTAATATTATATACAAAAATCGATGTCTCATTTCTATTTGTATTTAAACTGAATACAAAATGTTTCATCAGATTTATATCACAGACTCAGCATTGTAGAGCTTAATTTTTCTATTCTATATATACAACACCTATTCTAAAGAATTTCAAAACAAAAATTTCCCCATGATTCTTTTTTCCAGAAAAAACATAATGGGTGTACAGATAAATCATAACACTATTTCAGTTGATGAGATAAACAGTTATGATCTGTGAATGGACAGTGAATATATGATTAGGGTGTATGACAATTAATATACACTGCAGCACTATTTATTGCAAACTGGTGATAACTTAATTTAAGAGTAAAAATTCAGTGGTTATGAAGAAGAGTATTGTGATTGAAGTATTAGAAATACTATCCCCAAGATATGCGTACGTTTTTAAAGTTAGTAATTGACAAAAATCTATCAGTTTTCCCCCCAAAAATCCATTTCATCTACAAAAATATTTTATTCTTCTTTTTACTAGTATATAAAACAATGCTATGAAATATAAGTTAGGTTCATATATCATATATATAGTTCATACTTGTACCCTACTTGTACCCCAAAAATATCTCATCAAATATAAGCAGAAAGCAACTTTTATTGGAACTGAACCTTCTTTTAATTTTTTACATAAAGAAATTGAACAATAAAGTTAGTTTAAGCTACTCTGACCGCCATTCCTTGAGGTAATTTTGTAACAGTTTGGATTACATTATGTCTAGCGCATGTTACACTAGGAGCACTAGAGTCGTAACATGGGCATAATGGACGTGGTTTGGGAACGTAATCTTGACGGTACATGGTATTATCTTCAAACTTAGCATCACTTTGGAAGGCTGTGTTATCTGGTTTGAAGGAGCGATTTGGCACCATTCCATGTGGAATGTAGTGGGCTTTCTGAGTTGACATGCCTTCAAATGGGGCATTGTTGGGATGGTAACCATCTCTAGCAGGTTGTTCCACTCTCCTGACTTGCCACTGTTTGTAGTTTTGTGCATAATTTGTTGTACCATCGAAAGGTGCATTAGAGACTTTCCCAGCATCTGTTGGTCTCATCATGGCATTTCTAGCCAATGGCAATTGTCTGTATGTTGAATTATGGGTAGTTTGCATGAACATATCACCTTCTGGTTTCTTGTAACCTTCCTGAACGTGAACATATGGCTTTGATGCTGGATATTTGATATAATCTTTACGGTTAGTTGTTAAATCTTCTAATGGTTGACCTGACGAGAATGCTTGATTATCTGGCTTGAAACTTTTTGTAAGTTCACCAACTGGTCCCCTGTAATCTCGTTTAAATGTTGTGACACCATCGAAAGGTACACCTGGTGCTTTGTACTGCTCTCTTTCCCGTACAAATTTTGGCCCTAGAGCATGTGGTTGATAGGACTGCCTGTAATCAGTATTGTCAGCAAATGGTGCATCAGATAATTTTGATGCCTCTTGGGGTTTCATTGATTGGCGAGGAGGCTGGGCATATTTACGATAATCATGATTCATAGTTGTCTCCCCTTCAAATCTGGCGGTTGGTTGTACCCATGCATCCTTACTAACATAAGGTCCTGGACGACCAGACATATCCCATTTCTTATAATCAGCTGAAATCATAAAAGTAAATTAGATACTAGTACCCGGTATATAGTTTTGAAAAAAATTCACTGGACAGAATTAATATAAAATACGATGTTAAGTTCATAACTACGAAACTGAGTATGAAATGCAAATTGTCCAATTAGCTTTAATATGATTTCTTTTGTCACCAAAATTTTTGGAGACAATTTTTTCAAGACATTGGCAGTTTACTATTTGTTAGTTAAATAGTTATTTTGACAAATTTTATAATAATGCATACTCTTAAATATTTGTAAAAATTTAAATCTGTATTTTTTGAATAAATCCATCTTTGAAAGAGACAATATGATTTGTATTAAATATTTCAGATCACTTTAAGAAATCAATTTAAAAAGTGTCCATTACACTTACCTTTATAAGTTGGTTCCCCTTCAAATCTACCGCCTTGCATCTTTTGTCCATCATGTCGAATCTGTGTTGCAGGTGGTGCCATCTTCTCTGTAATAAGATAACAAGAGATGAGAATTTGAAACTTATATGCTGTGTTCAAAGATCTTGGTTTAAAAAAATGAATGTTTATAAATAAAAGTAAAGTAGATATATATATATACACATGTACTGAATAGGATCAAATGGTGAACAAGAAAATCTAGCTCAGGAAAGGAACATCTTTATTGCTTTTCTTCATGCTGAATGTTAATGAAGGTTTTCACTAATACCAAATCATAATACACTGTATATTGTACTACAAGATCTTGATGGTTTCCAACAGTTGTTATCATCAAGGACTGATAAAGTGTTGTTTAAACTTTAAGTGGTAAAACAATTACACAGATAATTTATTTTGCAAACCGTGATATAATGAACTGTAATTGCATGGAAGTATTATAGCTTTTCTTTTAATTGATAATTAAAAACATAAAATTTATTGATTAACTGGGCACGGTTGTGCCCTTTTGTCATATTTCCACTATTCAATACATTAATATATTAAGAAACCAAAAAGGTCAACACTGCAGCATACATCTAACGTAAGCAATGAATTTGTCAGAAGTTGGATTGAAATTGTAAGGTTATCAGGCCAATATAGTTAGAATGTCTCGGAGGGGATCGAAGCATTAACAGTCAGGGGAGTCATCCAAACCCCTGTGGCTACTGAAGTGGTTATCGTATATGGGTAACAATATTTTGTGTAAGAATAACAATAAATCTAATTTAATGCTTATTCTAGGCAGTTATAATAAGAATTGGGTGAAATTGTCTTTTCCCCTTATACCTATTTAACAAGAATCTGGAAATAATTTTGGATAAAACTTTTGGCTAACATCAGTTTTCTATATATGCTCATGTTAAACAAAACTTACTTGTAAAATCTTTATTATAAGATGTCATTCCCTCCATTGCACCATCAGGTCTTTGGTACTGATCTGGGACCCTTACAAATGGCTTCTCTAAGGGATGTTTGATGTAATCTTGTCTGCAAATTAAATCATATATTCATATAGCTGATTCTAACTTGTGCTTATTTCGTCTAGAAATCAATCTTCCATTTTCTTAAACTTAACTATCCACAAAAAGTAATATTACAACTTTCCTTTTTAATTTGTTATGGAAGATATTTTAAATATCAATTAAATTTTTTTTAAATCATAATTATTTGAAAATTGTAAATGTGAGAGAAAAGTGTTCAGTAACAAAGTTGTTAAAATTTAGCTACTCTGTACTCAAACAAAAATCTGAAAATTCCTGAGTTTTGATTTGGCCATTTAGATACATGTATATGAAAACTTTTTAATTCTAAAATTTATTTACATATTTCTAACTTTAAAGTTACATTAGATAAACACCCAAATGACAACAACAAATCATTCTATTGTTTAACTCTTTTATTTTCTTACCATGTCCAGTGTGATGACTGTCAGGCCTTTTGTCTGTATACATTAAGTGTGAATAAAAATATTGACTTATCAAATGCTTCAAATACGTTTTAAATTTACCTGTTAAAACCTGCAGGAATGGGAAATAATATTTTTAATATTTGAAATGCCATTATAGAAGTAAATTGCAAGATACTAATTACGTATATATACCTATTTGTGGTTCTATCCTCAAAATTTCCACCCTGCATAGCCTCTGCATTTGGTTTGAAGCTTTCTCTAAGATTGATTGGGTGCTGTTTGTATGTCTGATTGTATTCTGTTGATTTCTGGGAGGGGTCTCCTCGACCAATAACATCTGTGTGTACATGGGGCCTGGTATGCTTCCTAAGAAACAAAAAATTATCATTAATTCAGAATAACATAAAAAGAATCATTAATTCTGGATAACATCATAACCTTAAAAATGTGTTCAATCATTTATTTTGATGAGGTTTTTTGTCTAGTTATTGTGATCATGATGAACAATGAAAAAATATTGATAACTAAATCAAATTCAAAAAATATTTATGATGAGTTATGATTGAAATTATTAAAATGAAAGCAAATTATAAAAACAAGGAATACAAAATATGTGTCTGTTACATTCATTGTAAATAACCCATTCTTACTAAAGGGAGATAATTCATGTTAAAAAATGCGGCAATGGTTTTTGAATAATGAAAATGTTCTTTCAAATAGCAGATAAATAATGCACATACAGCTGTTTATTAATTACAACTCCAGTTATACAACCAAAACAAATTCTATTCAGATTAATCTACTAGTTAATAAGTATTTAAATTTGGAACATATTTAAATCATAAAATGTTAATCTGTGTTTTGGATCATTGGTTTAACAAGATCAGGTGTAAAAGTCATTAAGACCACACTTTAAAACAAAGTGTTTACTCAGATCATTTAACTTAAATATAAATTTTTAAAAAAAATAAAGTTTTTTACAGTATTATTTACAGTTAAAGAAACAAGAAGACCTACTTCTGTGTGTATTTATATAATCTTTTTTTTTTATTGAGGACTGTTTTTGCTAAGTTATGGGATTTACCCTTCTGTGACTGAATAAGCTGAATAAACTGGTAAATGAGTGCTACATCTTGACTTGACATAATATACTAAGAATGAATAAATAGAAAAATGACCCACACATGCTTATTGGATGAAAACGATGCATATATACTATACATTTATATATCATCATGCATTCTTGCATGTTCAAAATATACAATTCATATATTTATTTGGATAAAAAAATGTGTTGACATCTCATTAAACGCAAAGTAAATCGTTGGAGAAGTGTAGATCATTTGCTGAAACAAACAAGGGACACAACTACTTACGGATTCAAAAAATCAAGCTGATGATTATACCTAGAATTATTAATAAAATAATTCATGTTGTTCATCACTTCTAACAATTAAATAAAATTAAAGGATAAAAAATAGGAACGTGACTTTTCTGACTTCTACAATGAACCAACTATTGAAAAGCATTGCCAAAGTCAATTAATTTTAGCTATATTTTTCTTTAAAAATTATGAAACAGGAGCTAGCCCACTAGTCAGATGTCATGATCTTTAGCATTGGACAGCAATCCTATGGAAAGACAACTTGCTTGAATTGGGGCCAGCAATTTTCTGAATATAATATATGAACAATAGCCAGTAAACTAACAATGCATAAGTAGTGAATTATACCCAAATAATTGGCAAGCTGATGAGTGAAAATAAGAATAATGCTTCATAACTCAACTGGGTAATAAATAGTGAGCAAATTATCCAATAAATTACTTAAATTCTCAAGTGTTTGGGCAAATAACTTACTAGACTTATAAAGATAAAAGCAACCATAAAGACAAAGCCAGTTTGTGCAAATACATTGTTAGAAAGTAAATGTATAATGTATCATTAAATAAATGTTCACCATTCAGTTTATCAAGCATAGATCATTGGTTTATTTTGCATAAATTTGACTACGGCTAAAGTTCCATATGACACAACCACCATACTATGTTAAGAAACACAATAACACACTACAGTTTATTTCATGGAGATGATATATGGAACTTTTTCCTTAACTACTAGGAAGATTAGTTTTTAGAAAAGTTATAAAAAAAAAAGTTTAAAAAATGCACATATATACCCTGAAAGATTGATGGTATACAATAATTTTTTCTGAGAAACAAAAAGGAGAAACTGCATTCAATATGCCATTTTTAACTTTCTGATATTCTAAAAACTGGTTTCAAACTAAATACATTGTAAGTCTTTATTTCTTAACGCCTAAATAAGACAAACATGTGCTCGAGGTTACTAATACTCAAAGATTAACTTACCAGTACTATTAAGTTATTATGAATCCTTGCCTAACTAACCCCCTTATTTTTACCTTGACTTAAAGTTTTTCTAATTGCTGACAGTAAAATATGAAATATTCCAAAGAAGAATTCATTAGGAATGGTTTTGATGTTTCACAATATAATCTATCTGAATTGTCTTGGAATTTTTAATCTGTATTTTCATTTATCTCATTATGAATGAATGAAACTATTTCATGCAAGGACCCTGTATTTTCTACATGCCCATTGAATAATTCACTGTTGTCTATTACAGTATTTAGTTAATGCATGACCCTACAAAACAGTACAAAAGAAAACAAAACAAAACTCACATAAAAGGTAATAAATGAACCTAAAAAAACTCTATGAGAACTGTTCATATGAAGAGAGAATACATGAAATGTGTCGCAACAGGATGGCAAACTATATTTTATTCATATTTATAATTTGGCACCACACTAACCAGAGCGCTCATGATCCAAAAATCCTGGTGAGAACACTGAATTCTTGATTTGACAAGCATTTTAATGTACTCCTGTACTTGAAATACATCTTTCATTGGTAAGTTTTGCAAAATGTTTGCACTTTGCTATTTTCTTTAACCTACTGTAAAAGGCATTCTACAATGACAGTCAGTATATTTTATTGCTGTCTTCATAAAGTCACTAGGAGCCACAGTGGCTAAGTGGTCTAAGTAGTCAAACTACAGTACATGTATCACAAGCCTGTCAACACTGAGGTTGTGAGTTCAAATCCTGCAAAATCTGGATCAAAACTCTAGTTTGTCATATATTCAAAAAGTTCAGTTCATAAATTTAAATGTGTAGCAGTTTCAGGGTGATGTGACTACAAAAAAAAATAAACCAAGACTTTAACTTGATATAAATTATAATGTGGGATGGACATAGTCAGACCAAAAACATAATCGTAGTTGGGGCAATCCAAGGGCATAAAAACATTACCAAGTTTTTATGATAGTCATATATATATATATATATATAAACAACTGAATACAAAATGTCTGACCATCCAAAATGGATCCTGCCAAATTTTAGTTTACTAACCAGTATAGGCAGTACCCGGTAATCCCTTTTGGGATTCTGAGTCCAAAGTGATTTTCTGATAGGGCAGCCAAATCAGAAACTTGCTCAACACTCAGAATCCCAAAAGGGATTAAGCAACCAGAAACCCAACATTTCATTTCTTGACCTAATACATTGGCTGTTTATCAATGTCTTTATTGAAATGGATGTACTAAACTCTATTAAATAATATCAACAAAACTCAACTGGGTTGTTTAATACCTAATTTCAGGTGGGGATTCATCGGGGCGCACACGGCTCTCACACCCCATAAAAAACTTAAAGTAACAAAAATGTTATAAAGATTTATTTACAGCCAAATGTGTGTCAAATTAAGGTCCTCTAATTCTAAATTTTCAGGAGCCTCCCCCCTCCCATCTATATCAAATCCTGGATATATATATCTACATGTAATGAAGTCAAGTTTTTCAGCCTCCTCATTAAACTGAATGAGGTGTGCACACCTGTAGGATCATAGTGGGGCTGGTTGGGAAGTAATATATGATAAATCCTTAGTTATTAGCCAACAATATTTATATATGGCTCACAGATGTGAATCCAGGATTTTGAAAAGGGGGCCCAAACTGTCTAGTTTGGGGTAGAACAGTAAATGTCTGGATTGACCATAAATGTAGCTCCATAAGGGGTGCCCCCCCCCCCCCCTAAATCCGCCTCTGGCTCAAACTAATTTACATCTTGTCCAGATATATCTAGTATATTTCCTGTGTTAATTACAATTAAGAACACATATTCAAGTCGTTTTATATACACCTGACAGACCATGGTGATTTCTGATGTTGTCAAAAACTCTAAATTTTAACGTGTACGGATCTGCACGGTATTTATTATTTTCAGGTGAGACATTTTTGACAGGTGACTTACCCGCAAATGCATTCGTTACATTTTGTCGTCATTTTTAGAACTTTTTGCCTGTAAATTGCACTCGATTGACTCTCTTCCTCACAGTTGTATTCCTCCTCAATCAAACGTCGTTAAGCGCACCTGACAGGTGTTTATCAAAATGGTGGATGGCAACTGTTGACAAACCTGTCGGGATAGACAAAGTACTATTAAAGGGATATAATATAAGGAAAGGCTGGCGCGAAATTTTAAAACTTGATTCTAAAAACGTTTACTCGGTCCACACTTGATATATTATTCCCAGGTACACAGGTATGAGACGAGATTTTTTTGTTTTTGAGTTATAAATACATTAAGCATGATCAAGGACGTATGTTAGTTATACTTCATTGGCATGATAAGACAAATTACATAAGACAATATTTATTGGCACAAACACATTTACAATAAAGTAAAAAGGTTAATGAATGATTAAATATAAACAATAAAACAGACAATTGTCAGTACAGTAGAAAGAGAGTTGCAGTGGCTTGCATATGATACATATAATACATATATATTAAAAAATTATCGTCTCGCAGATGTGACTCGGTCCTGTTCAGCTGCCGGACTACTGTAAAACATTCAGTAGTCTTCGGACAAGGGAACGACCAATTAACTATTGTGTTTTTTTGGTTTTTTTTTTTTATCTTGAAATGTTTTAAAATCGTAACACGCAAGCATTTTTTTAAAGAAATCAAACATTAAATTTAATGGGAAAACTCGGAATCAGAATTGTATATTCCTTCACCTTGATCAAAATATGTTTTTCTTCCAATCTGTTCCAATCAAAAAAAAAATCAGAAAATAACCATAAAAAAATAAGGCAGTGTATATAGTGGGTTCAGAATGTGAGGTTATGAGAATGTGGCAAGACGGGAGAGAGGCGACTTTGTGATTTTTGCTGTTGACGTAATTTACACATAGACCTTTACCGTTATATTTTCTGTTCCCGTAATTAACTCTTCTAGTGCCAGGAAATATTCCGCAACTTTCCGTTTACTGCTAAGCTTGTTTTTTTCTACAGTACACAAGAATATTTGCCGTCAGTGACGTTAACAATAAGGTCGCGTCATAAGTAAAGATTTTTCGTAAAGGGTACGACGTCTTTCGGTGATTGAACGGCAATTTTGAGAAGTCTTGCTTCCGTAATTGTACTTTTTCGGTAATACTTTTATTAAAAATAATTTACAAAATTCTCCCGGCCGATGATGGGCAGGTTTTGTTTTAATTTTGTACTTCTTTTTTAAATAGGAAGAGATGGTTCCACAGCGTTCAAACAAATAGTACTTACTGATTTTCCCCCTTTTCCCCGCCTGCTTTTATCTTTTCCCAACAATTTACAAAAACATCTATTCTTTTCAGAAGAGATTTAGAATTCAAAAACTATTATCTTCAAATCGTGCTGCAAAAAATGTTTCCATATATTTTAATTGTAAAAAATAGAGAGCGGCGAAATCAAGAAAACTAAAACTCTTATTTGTTCACTCTGCCGTCTTTATTTTAAATTTTACAGCAGGTAAATTTTTCTGATTTTTTCAAGAGAAAATGCGGGTTTAAGAGAAATTTTCGTTTTTGTGGCGAAAATGAGGATTTCAACCCAAAAAGTCAAAAATCAAAAGTCTAAGGTAAGTCATTTTAAAATTGGTCATTTCAGAAAAATTCTATCAAAATTTGACCATCAAAGTCACTTTGCATTGTTTTTAGGTGAAAAGATACACGCGACAAAAATTTTGCAACATTTTACATTTTTGTGTTGAAAATCTGTTTTTTTTTTCTGAAGTCAAAAATAAAAATTCATTAAATCTTCATTTTCACAGAATTAGATGTTGTTGACTCCAGTAACATTGCGATTTTTTTTTTATTCATTTCAAGCACTTATAAAGAAGTCACATACAATTGAAACAATTCCAATGAAATTGATGGAGGTGGTGCGTTTCTTCTGTTGTTGATATAACAATAAGAAAATGTGGTATGATTGCCAATGAGACAACTCTCCAAAAGAGACCAATTGACACAGAACTTGAATTAACAGGTCACCGTACGAAATTGAGTATATTTCAATATTAAAAAATCCCCGAATTATCTCCCCTAAAAAGTTTTTTTTTCATAAAATTTTGCTATTTGTGAAAATATTCTAACTTTGATAATAAATCAAAGTTTAAATACTTTTTTTTCTTTGTATTAAATATATTTTGCTCGTTCGAATGATAAATTAATGTTAAAATTTGAAAGATTTCCGAACAAGATGCCCAGTGAAATAGGCTCGATCTACCTTGATTACCTCCAATTATGATCATGGAATATAATTACGTCACATTTTAATGATGATTTAATGTACAGTGGTTGTTTCGGAACTGAAAAGTAGGTACAGCGAAGATACATACAGAGCGGTAGCACGAACATCTCATATGTGCAAGGGGCGCGCAAATGAATTAAATTACATTATTAAATGATATGAGCAAATCAGCCCTAACACGAATAAATCAGCATGTGCAATACTGATTACAGAGGGCCGCGGCAGAATTTGTGAGTGTCTAGGCAGTCCATGTAAACCTTAGTACCTTTTGGTTACATTTCGGATCGTTATAGTTTTACTAAATTGCTTTCAGGTCCGTACAACATTTCCAAAATGTGCTGTGGCTGTATTTTTATGAAGAGATGTATGGCAAAAAAAAAGGGGGACTAAAAGAACAGACAAAACTATTTATAAGCCAGTCAACTGTGTCTGAGAGAGTTGCAATTTGAGCTTTAGTTTCTAAAAATTAATATTTTCTCAAATGAATGGAAAAATTTGAGAAATGCATGTTATATTTCGTCTCAGTTCGCAGTTAGCTACTGGCATGGGCTTATACATATGATATCATCGAGAATAACAGTCCCGTGGCAAGTTAGACAAGCCCTATAATATATCAATTCAGACAAACGACTCCAGGGCGATCACGATTATTTATTTCAATTGGTTTTCTGGTATTTTACAGTTATCTATTTCAAATGATTAATAATGACCATTGATATTCATAGGAATTCAAACTTGGATGCCTTAGTCTCTGTACGTTTTAAAGAACCCTTAGTTACAACAAGTATTTTAGTGATCCATAGATGCCTACTGCAAGCCAAATGTCTGTTCATATAAATTCAAAAATATAAAAATTGCTCTTCTTCCCGGTCGACCCCCTATGCAGAACATGCCTGAATGGCGCGCCAAGCAAAAGTATTAAATACTAAATGGATCTTTAATATTGACAGATTGGAATGGAATGAGTATATATCAAATCTAGTTTTCTTATGCCCCGCCGCAGCGGAGGGGGCATTAAGTGTTACCATTGTCCGTCTGTACGTACGTCCAAAATTGGTTTCTGTTCTCTAACTTTAGTTCGCCTCAACCAAATGTAATGAAAATAATACACAATGCTTATTACCACAAAACACAAATCAAGTCGGAATTTGGGTGTCGTCACTTTTATCGTTCTAGAGTTATGCCCCTTTACAAATGGAAAAATTGCTGAATTTTTCGTTTCCGTTCTCTAACTTAAGTTTTCCTCAACCAAATGTTATAAAACATATACACAATGCTTATTACCACACACTCAGATCAAGTTCGAATTTGGGTGGCGTTACTTTTACCCTTCTTGGGTTATGCCCCTTTATAACGTTATGAATACGCAAACTGGCGAGGACATCATCTGTGTCCCATGGACACATTCTCCATTTATTTTTTATTAAATGTGATTTTTATACTCAATCTATCAACACCATCACAAGTAAATATATTGGGTTCCTACATTAAAACGTCATTAGAACTGAGAACATATAGGACTCTGGACTATCATTACTGTTATTAAATGATTGTGTATATATGTGTGAGTTTCAGTTATATTGTATACTCATTTTGTATTTGTCACAAACTTATTGTTTATAGTTTATATGGCAATAAACATTTGAATTGAATTGAATAAAAAGAAATGCACATTTATACCCCGAGGAGTTGAGGGCATATATACAATCAAGGATTTGTATAGTAAGAATTGTTGTATATTTAAGTATACAATTCCTTGATACAATACAAATGAATTATTATTTAATAGGATAAAACACTAAACAACATGCAGTAACTAAACATGAGTAGCCCCCAGCTCTTCTTTTAATAATACAACGGTACTGCTTGTGTTCACTCACTCATTATCTTTGGGAATATACTGTGTTTATTTTGTCTCCCTTCTCATACATAGTTTTAGTTTTATTGTCATGTATTGTAATTTCAAATAGCTCAATGAAAAAAATCACCACAATTATTTGTACACTTTAATTTAAACTGTAATTGTACTGCTCCTCGGGGCGTCTTGATAGACAAATAAAAATTGTTGTTGTTGTTGTTGTTGTTGTTGTTGTTGTTGTTTCAGAAGATATCATTGTCTGACATCCGAGAGAAACTGAGGGATAAGACGCGAAAGATATTGGAGAAAGCAATTTAGGAGAGAGAAAATAATCTAGAAAGACTGGATCAGGCGAGTAATTGTAGTAAGCTCATGTCTAGACTTATCATGCGTGAGACGGCAGCAGTATCACACTAAAAAAGAAGCAAAGTATGAATGTTCAACTTCGTTCTTACCTTAGATTCCAGCCATAACGATGTTTCTAGTTCAGCTATACAGTGACGTTACAACATAACGACGAATGATATCGCCTAAATACGAGTATTTGCTCAAGACATGTATACTCACTGTATTACAATCTATATCTGTTTATTTCGTATATGTGATTAATTTAGTTTTGATAAGTATAATTAAGTCCAAAATTGTAGTCAATACTAGCTCACCAAAGATTCCAGTCTTATAATTGTGTACGCCAAACAAAAGCTTCGTCTATACATAAGTTTCATCAGTGACCGTCGAATCAAAACAGTTTGAAGGCCTAATCAAATACGAAGTTAAATAGCATTAAATTCCTAAACGTTGTGTCAAATAATGCTAAGGCAATCTATACCTGGGGGGTAGAAAAACCTTATTTCGAATAATTCAAAAATTTGTAAACAGTATATTTACAAAAAAATGAACATATCAATGACAATTCATGCTCCACTTTTGTCACCCGTCGTGTTCGCTCATGCATGAAATAGACCCAGCGGTACAGTGATGGTCATGAACTGGGAAAGATGCCGGTATAGTTACGACAAATTGAATATAAACGTGGTCATCTGTGACTCGGCTACGTTTCAATAACGATATTTCAAATCACAATGACGTATTCAACTTTATTATTAGACTATTGGAACAAAATGTATATCAATTTAGAATATAATTTATTCTTATGTCAACAGCAACCCTCGATCAAAGAAATTCTGAAAGGAATAACAAGCTTCGGAATATCAAATTCAGTAGGCCAGGGAGATGTAGGTGCTGCTGTGATCTTGTTACATTAAAATGGAAACATCAATGGGAAACTAAAGTCATCATTTTTGTCCTTATGAATATAGATCTCAACGGACCCTCACTATCGATCGAGATATAAAGAAAACCTTATTTATCTGTAGTAACACGTTTATTTCAATTTCAATAGTATAAATGCGATCAGCGTAGTCTCCAAATTTTCAGTGAAGTTCACTGAAAGTACACCATCCACATAGCGGAACGCGAAGGTAAAATATAATTTACCTTGAAACGCACGCCCTGGAATATTGTATCAACTGGGAAGTATGTACTCCATATGCAGGCGCAGCTGTAATATTGCTACATAGAAATGGAAAGTTCACAATTGGGAAGCTGAAATCATCTCTTTTGTCGTAAAGTGTTGTTCTCATTGTCAATTTCTAGATGCAAGACAAGATATGAGGTAGACTTAACTGTATCTGTTTTATACTTTATTTCAAGTTCGTTTGGATAGATGCGTTCAACCTGGGACATAATATATTGACGGGATTTGACACTCGGATATAATAGTCCCAGAGTCAACATAGTCACCAAACTTTGTATTTATTAGGGAGAGGACATCATCGATATAGCGGAACGTTAAGTTAAAGGATAATGCTAGCTTCTTTTCATTCTTCTTAAAAGCTTCCTGTATAAAGTCATCCTAATATGAATTAAGGAAAGAAAGATGCTAACAATCAATGTTTATAGTATCCAAATCATTAGAACTTCACCTATTTACCTATCGAGGTTGTGCACCTTCCCGTTATGGAGTTTACTGAAAATTTAATTATTCGGTCATTTTCCCATCTTATATTACCATGCATTAATGTCAGTCATATGGACCATGAATCTCCAATGTTTAAGAAACATTCTAGACAAGTCAGTTTTTCATGTTATTGCACTAGGACCTGAGACTTCTATACACTGTAACAAGGTAACGGTAGGACGTAGGAACAGATCATTAAAATTGTTTTTTTTTTAAACAAGACAGCCCCTAAAGTAGGAAGTACTGGTTTTTATTTTCTATTGTTCGTCTTGATAAGTGCACCTAAGTTAATCAACATATATATTTATATATATATGAGGGTCTGGATGCCTGTGGTCAAGAATTTCTGTATTCTTTAAATTTTCAAGGCATTTTTTAATCTTTAAAAATAACGCTTATTCTGTAAAATCCCCATAAAAATGATTTTACTCTTAATTGTATCATAATTAGATGATTTCGTTTTTCCTACATCGTTCAATTCTGTAATCAGTATTTTATTACCTAAAAAGAAGTTATCCTTTTGCACCCATTTATTCTCGATTCTTTTTTTTTTCTTTAACTGTCTATTCCGCAGACCCCATCTGTAATCTGTAATCTGTTATATAAATTCTGCCAATGTAGGCACACCTCTTCTGAGTATTCTGGTTCACAAAAAAATTCTGTAACACTGTACAAGCCTTTTCATTTCTAAATATTGCTAAATATAAGCAAATGGATGAATAATAAGTTGTAAAATATCAAATTGTTCATCTTTCATATTTAAAAAAAGCCAACTCTTTACCACAGGAATTAATTAAATCTTCCAAAATCGGTTGGGTTTTCTAATATCTTCTAGACTTTTACATGTTAATAAAAATGTGATAAAGTTTCTTCTGTTTTGTTACACAATTTACATAAAGACAGTTCTGAATTAGCTTTAAACTTGGCTCTAACTGCTTGTAGAATGTAACTTCCAGTAGCTGTTTTAATTTTTGTACTAAGGAATTCTGATAATTTCTCTTGTATTCATAGTGTTTGTATTAGTAATAGGATGACAACGTCCTGGTATTATATCATTGACAAGGACTTTAAACTGGTATAAAGTTTTGCTTGATTTAATATCTTCTGAGTCCAAAATTTGTGAATCTTGGAAGTTATTTCACTCTTCCATTGGTATTTAGAAATTGGGTTGACTAAATATTGTTCAGGATCATTCTATTCATAGTTCAACAAGAATGTGTCCATAGTACACGGATGCCCCACTCGCACTATCATTTTCTATGTTCAGTGGACCATAAAATTGGGGTAAAAACTCTAATTTGGCATTAAAATTAGAAAGATCATATCACAGGGAACATGTGTACTAAATTTCAAGTTGATTGGACTTCAACTTCATCAAAAACTACCTTGACCGAAAACCTTAACCTGAAGCGGGACAGACAGACGGACGAACGAACGAACGGACGCACAGACCAGAAAACATAATGTCCCTAAAACTATCGTAGGTGGGGCATAAACATGTTTTTTTCTCAGTAAACTAAATCGACTATTACTATCAATAGATTTAACATTTAATTGCCTTTCCGCTAGTTGCCATTCAATAGAACTTTTTTCTTGTCTAGTAATATTTCCATAAAAAGTTTAAACTCTAACATCTATTTGAGATTTTTTAGGTAACATCCCAGAAATTATATATATTGCAGGATCATATATATCATCGAGTTTCATATATATCAATCGTCAATCGCATACATTCTTGTGCGTTGCTATAAAAATTTGTGCATTGTGTAATTTTCTATACCAGTATGTAGATCATAAATGCGTTTAAAAGAACGCAGTAACGCTATCACCAATCGTGCTTCTTAATTACATCGAAACATAAAATTTAGGATTTCGCAACACGATTTCTCCACGTTTTGTTTATATTTTTAGCATATTGAAATGTAGATTTCAATTGTAAGTGTATTTTTCCAAAATATAATCATACAATCACACCAATGTTGACTAGAAATAGCGATTTATTCCCATTTTTTACCAAATTCGAATCAAATGATTCAGAGGCAAAAATCAAAAAGTAAAATTATATATGATGCAGATTTAGTCAGTTAGTCATATGATACGCAGGCACTTAATTTATAGAAATACAGACAGGGAATGATAGAGAGGCATAATTTCTATGTTACAAAAGCTATAACCAGACCATGTATGAGATAATATGTGCATATGGATGAACAATTATTTTGTTAATGTTATGCATATACGATGCAGTCCGGTAATTCGGCCCACCTAAGGTTTTGATCGTATATATTTCTGCTCTATTAAATAAAAATTGCATCAAATTTGATTTGCATCTATTCACTGAAAATTAAATTTTACGTATAAATATATCTCATTTCCGCAAAAATATCTAAAAATGATTTTGAAAATCAATCAAACAAAAAGGTCACCTGTGTTTATAACAAAAGTGTGTTTTTCCGGTAATCCGCCCATGTGTAGTAAACATCTATGGAGGGCCTGTTTATAACATATTAACGAACAACAAAATAAGGAAATGATGATTTATTAATGGAAAACTAAGAAAGGAATTCCAGATGAATGAGAAAAAAAAATTTCAAGTCAATATTATGAAGAAATTGATGAAATAATAATAAAATATTTTTTTTTATAAAGAACAGGGAAAAAAAAGAAAAGTAAAAAATATGATTATAGACATGATAGAAATAGATAAAAATGTCAATAGCATGGTTAATAATAGTCTTGTCATTTAAAATGGCCATCGTTCAGTATTCTGAAATGCAGTTAATAAGACACGCATTTGCATGTATTCATCATCCTGGTAGATGGGTTTAAAGTCTGTGCAGTATATAGTGGTTTTAATGTAATCTATAATTTTATTTTAGAGTAAATATATTTTCTTTTTTTTTTTACTTTTAAATAAAAAAAAAAACAAGATACAGAAAGCTTGTGACAAACTTTTCCATAGATATTTATTAAAGATACAGGAACTTTAAGAAAAAAAACATTTTATTATTGTTATTTTGGCTTTCCATAGTTTTTAAAATTGCATTGTCTCCCTTTGATTTAGATTTGACGTAAGCAAATGTTTTTTTCATACTAGACAATATATTTATGGAAGGGACGCACACGGAAGTAAAGGGGCGGAGTTACCGGACGGGCGGAATTACCGGACACGACTGTAATTTATCCGATTTCTAGACAATTCAGCAATGAGACTGATTGACACAAGGACATTTTTGCACTTGTGAACAACATTCCAGTACCTGTAAATGACATTTTTTTACTAGAGAAAGATATTTCAGCATCCATAAAGACATTTGGGTATCGAGCCAAATCAGCACCTCTCAATGACTAAAAGCTACCTTGTTTATTTTCCATCGTTTAGCTTTCAGACCTTATTACTGCTTTAATCAGTTAATATCCCAACTGTTTTTGTTGCCTTCCATTAAAGTTTCTTGATACTAAAGTTCCTCACTTTAATGTCATCAAGTACGTTATCTTCAGGCTTCTTAGATTTTATCAGAGACATAATATATACATGTATATCTCTGATTTCATGCATGTCCTTCATTTGAAAGTTTTGTCTAATAATTTTGATCAGGAGAGCCAAATATTTTGCAGATACAAATTCCTACACTTTTAATAACGTTGTTGTAAGATATATTGTATGAAGTAGTACATGTAAAATTAATGTTGTCTTATTAATTTTTATGCCCCCGCTGTAGCGAAGGGGGCATTAAGTTTTACCCTTGTCCGTCTGTATGTACGTACGTACGTCCGTACGTCCAAAAGTTGGTTTCCGTTCTCTAACTTTAGTTTGCCTCAACCAAATGTTATGAAACTTATACACAATGCTTATTACCATTAATATAGATCAAGTTTGAATTTTGGTGGCGTCACTTTAACCGTTCTAGAGTTATGCCCCTTTATAAATGGAAAAATTGCAAAAATTTTTAGTTTCTGTTCTCTAACTTAAGTTTGCCTCAACCAAATGTTATGAAACTTATACACAATGCTTATTACCACAAAACACAGATCAAGATTGAATTTTAGTTGCGTCACTTTAACCGTTCTAGAGTTATGCCCCTTTATAAATGGAAAAATTGAAAAAAATTTAGTTTCCGTTCTCTAACTTAAGTTTGCCTCAACCAAATGTTATGAAACTTATACACAATGCTTATTACAACAAAACACAGATCAAGTTTGAATTTTGGTGGCGTCACTTTAACCGTTCTAGAGTTATACCCCTTTATAAATGGAAAAATTGCAAAATTTTTATTTTCTTCTAAATATCAAGTAATTTTTATACGCCCGTTTATAGGACATATTATGGTATACCGTTGACAGTCTGTCCGTCGTCAACATATCGGACGTTAACTCAAAAAAGCTTTAACCAATATGCATGAAACTTTGGTGAATTGTTTATATCTTTTGACGTGAGCTCCCTTTCCATTTTTATAAATTTCAGATTTACCGTTTCCGAGTTTTGGGGTTTTATTCATTAAAAAAGGGGGGATTTTCCAGTTTTCTGACAATAACTCAAGAATGCTTTTACCAACTTGCAAGAAATTTTGATGAATTTTATATATCTATTAACATGAGCTCCTTTTCGATTTTTATAAATTTTAGATTGTATGTTTCCTAGTTACAGGGTTTTATTCATAAAAAAAGGGTGATTTTCCAGTTTTTGGACAATAACTAAAAAATGCTTTCAGCAGTTCTCATGAAACTTTGGTGAATTGTTTATTAATTGTAACATTATATCTGATGATGTAAGCTCCCTTTAGAATTTTATAAATTTTAGATTTTACATTTCTCAAGAATGCTTTCACCAACTTGCAAGAAATTTTGATGAATTGTTTATATCTATTGACATGAGCTCCCTTTCGATTTTTATAAATTTTAGATTGTTCGTTTCCGAGTTATGGGGTTTTATTCATTAAAAAAGGGGTTTTTTTTCCAGTTTTTGGACAATAACTCAAAAATGCTTCCAGCAGTTCTCATGAAACTTTGGTGAATTATTTATAGCTATTGATGTAATCTCCCTATTGATTTTCATAAATTTCAAATCTGACATTGAGAAGAAATTGAAATTTATTTGTTTATAGTCTGACAACAGATTTACTAAGTATTGCGCAACAGCACAGTGTATTGCACAACAGCAAGAAATCTTTAATTGAATATGAATTCAATTCATATAACCAATTTCAAGTTCTTTGACTACATTTATTCAGAAACCTATAATATGTCAAATATTTAATTACAATCCAAATTCAGACCTGTATCAAGCTTGAATATTGTGTCCATTTTTGCCCCAACTGTTCAGGGTTGGACCTCTGCGGGCGTATCCAGCTGCGCTCAGCGAAGCAGTTTATTAAAATTGGAGTTATCTTCCTTTGTCCATGATTATAGTTGAATCAACTACAATCAATGCTTTATACAATGCAATGTTTAATTTTGCCTTCCACTGATAAAACACAGATCAAGTTGAATTTGGGTAGCAGAGCTCCAGATAAGCTGCGTATTTGCGTGATCACGCAATAAAAATGATTAAAAACCCAATGCAATTGCCCATTGCAGGGTTCAATAACCCAATTAATTCAAAGGAAAACCCAATTATATGCCAAAAACATGGGTTCTTAACGCTTTTATTCGCTATCGTTTGCGTTATTTACCCTAACTTGATTACAGTCGTCGCGTAAATCTATTTTTATAATATTTATAATTGGAAATGTCCTTTCGTTCTAAAAATAGAACCCTGCATCAAGTAACTGTAATGGGTCCCTGTTGGAATTTTCCGTTGCTCAAAAGGTACACGTGTTTATGAAAAAATTTCGATCTTCTCGGCGTTTATCCAATTAGCGTGTTACATGCTGTCATATTTTTTCGAATTGCTCGGGATTTATTATAACATACAATGAATTAAAACGAAAGGAAATGTCCGGTAAAAATATTGAATAGAAGCATGTTTTCGGCTTCTTTTTGATAGCTGAGGGAAAGTTATGATGATAACAAGACTCAGCTAGTGATTTTAGGAAGCGGCCATTGAACGCACGGGCGTGTTTGCGTACCATAACGAGAACATTGCTATAAACACGGGGTTCCGTCAAAAACGAAATCAGTTGGAAAAAGTGAAAGGCCAAATCAATTATGACATGATATGTAGTTTGAAAGCAACGGAAACCAAAAGTTCTGATAAGGGACAATTTAACCCAGATTTATGTAAATTGAATTAAACGAAAACAGTTTATATATTATTTTTTTCATTTTAGTTGATGAGTGAATACACATATCCGTTTTTTACGTCAATGCAGCTTGACACTTTCTTTGTTTTGGTCTAATTGTTCTAGATGCTTAAGATAGTTGTCTTATTTGCAAGTGCAGTATAACATTGTCATTTATTTACTTGATGTTGCAGAATTATTTGTAAATTTAAGTTGAATGTGGTCTCCGTCATTATAAACCACCCTATAAACCTCAAGGTTTTGGGGTATATCTTAAATCTGGAAACTACTTTTTATTTTTATTCAAAAGTAGATCTGGCAAATAGGTGAAAGGACTGGCAAAACTTTCTTACAGCACCTAAATTTCACATATATTACAAAAAAATCTAAACACTTAGCCACACCTACCCCAACTATAATTAAACTGTAGGGTGATCATATGGGATCTAGAAAGGCAATTAGTTCCTGTCCAACTAGTGACACCAGCTGCTGTTAACATAAGTTTTGAGAAAATACCAAAACTGACAGAACGTTTAAAACGGGACACAAATTAAATGTACAATTGCTCGTCAGTGGATAAACCAAATAAAACAGCTAGCACATATTCTACAAAGAAAGAAACACATTTAAGATGGAAACACATCTGGGGTTGATATAATGTGATTATAACATGCCTAAATATTCAATATTGTGTTGATGAAAAAACCCAATACATTAAGGAGCTTGGTGGTGAAAAACCCAATTTGATATTTGCTTGAGGGGTGAATTGGAATTGATAATGCAATTAAAAAACTTTATCACCCAATTACATAAAAAAATGGTGGGTAAAAACCCCAATTTGTGAATTCTTATCTGGAGCTCTGGGTAGTGTCACTTTAATCATTATTGAGTTATGTCCCTTTATAAATTAAAAGATTGCAAAATTTTGAGTTTCCATTCTGTAATTTAAGTTTGCCCCAATCAAACATTATGAAACCTATACACAATATTCATTACCACAAAACTAAGATCAAGTACAAATTTTTTGTTTCCATTTTCTAAGTTTAGTTTGCCTCAACCAAATGTTATGAAACTTATACACAATGCTTATTACTACATAATACAGATTAAGTACAAAATTTGGTGGCTACACTTTCACCATTTTATGTCCCTTTATTAACATAAAAATTGCTGAATTTTTCGTTTCCGTTCTCTAACTTCAGTTTGTCTCAACCAATTGTTATAAAACTTATACACACCCGTTCTAGAGTTATGCGTGTTTACAAATAGAAAAATTGCTGAATTTTTAGTTTCTGTTCTCTACTTAAGTTAGCCTCAACCAAACGTTATGAGACTTACACAGAATGCTTATTACCACAAAACTCAGATCAAGTTCAAATTTGGGTAGCGTCACTTTTACCGTTCTTCAGTTATGTCCCTTTATAACTATATGATATGCAAGGGGGAGGGGGGCATCATCTGTGTCCACATGTGGACACTATCCACATTTATTTTTGTGAATACAGGATAATTCTTATCCCAGAATGTTTATTTTTACATTCGACCACTTACAGCTGCTGCTTTTATATTTGCAAGTGCAATCTAAAATATTTATGCACTTTGAAGAACAATTTAAAAAAAAAAAATGTTCTGAAAATGAACTTCGTCTGTATTGCGGAATTGTCTTCCCACATTAAAGTTTTAAATAATTTAAAGCTGAGGCAAATTTGTTAATTTTAAAATCGCAATTTTATATATAATGGGGAAAAAAATCTAAAAAACTGTCAAAACAATATTACGTGTAAAATAACCTGTCTTGATTACATCATACCTTTTAAATAGAACTTCATTATTTTTTCTTCAAAATGTGACACATAAGTTTATAAGAAGTGAATTGAGGTATACACGTATGTAACTTGCATATCTGATCATAACTTTCAAATGAACTTTTGCTGTCCAAAATACAACACACAAGTTTACATGCATTGTGCGTAAATAAATATGCAATGACGAGTCAGTGCAGCACCATTAATGCATAATACTGCCATACCAGTTGACCATAGTGTTATACAAAGGTTATTACTTTCCCCTGCTCGCCAGAAAGAGCAAATTTTAATTATTAATTTGATCAGAAAAGATCACACGAAGTAATACACATTCATTCATTCAATTAATACCCAATATCTTATGACAAATATGTCATGTGTGAACCAGGTATTTGTGTACCAAGGTTGATTTAGCTATTGAAGTATTCCTGTTGTCGCTGAAATGTATTATATATCATAAAGTAATGTCAACCAATCGTATATTGTTATGTCCGTAGACTTAAACAAAATACATGGCAAATATTTTGTTTCTTTATAATTGTATATACAAAAGTTCAAGACATATTATTTTCTTTAAAATTCTCACATTTATTCAGTGGCAGTAGTTTCTGTTTATTTTTAAACAAACATGTCCCTTTTCGTAAATAAAATATTATTTTAATGGTGAGAAAAAACGAGGTCAAAATCAAGAAAAGGTTTTTTTTAAAGAAAAATAAACTTAATCACATTGAACGAATAAAAAACAACATTTTACTTTTAAAACTTTTGTTTTTTTAAGGCAATTAATTAGACATAGAACCTGATTATAAATAGACAGGAAATGCAATTGTTTAATTACATAAGAAATTCAAAACACCCTGATTGTCGCGTGTCGGCATAGATAAGTAGGATTAGGGCAATTAGTTTCTCGGTGTAACACTGTGTCACACTGTGTTGGGAGAGATGTCGCTATCACAATGAACAAAATGATGCAAATTTACGTGGTAATCCGAGAGTACCCTCCCAATTTCCTCGATGAATTTAGGAAGGGATATCAGAGTTTCCTGGTGTGACTGAGAATTATTGCGGTGGTTGGAGTTTGGAAACATGTTCGTTTTAATTGCACTGTAGGACTGATAGACCCCACTTGCATTCTTTTATTTCTACAGATTCTATTTTTCATTTTTTCTCTTACATAATTAACAATAATAATAATAATAATAATAAATTCTTTATTAAAAGAGGGTAATTCAATTAGAACTACAAAATGTAGTATAATTTTCATTGAGGCTCTCATACAAAATTAGTCTATGGTAGAATATATGCATTATAAAATAGTTTTGAGTTATATATTTATATGCAAATATTCTTTAAGTTTATACAAAAGTGATATTTTAGATGAGATAATCTTACATATACTATAAAAAATTAAATCAGATTTATACATGATAATTCTTCTTTGAGACTTAACTTTCAGCAGGGCTCAATCACTCATTCTACCAGGTGAATGGGACAAAGAAGTAGCATTCCCTGCAGTAACTTCGCTTTTCCAGACCATCAAATGCGATATCTAGATGCCTGGGTGTTCACAACAGTCACTTTCATCTACTAATTCCAGTACAATTCTGATTTCTGACTGGTATTTTATTGCATGCATCTTTACAGCTTGGATTTGTACAAGTTTATAATTATCTAATGTTGTTTTTTTATCAGTTTAAATAATGAATAACATATTATTTATTTCTCACTTCAGCTCCACATCACAGCAAACCAGTGCCACTCTCTTCACAGCAAACCAGTGCCACTCTCTTCACAGCAAACCAGTTCCACTCTCTTATAAAGTGAGTTACTCATATCAAATTACTTAAAAGTGAAATTCAGATTTCTTGACATTACAGCTTGAAAAGTACTATACATCTTGAATACTCCTTTCTGTGATATTTGGCTGTGTTATTTAGTGTACATTATTTAAACAGATTATATTCTAAACAAACTATAGCTGTACTAGTATTTGTTGTTCGATGGTTAAGCCAAAATTCTGAATGTGTTTATGGTTTTTCTATAATCATGATGATATGGCAATTGAAATAATAACTTGAAAACTCTTTTGTGAATTTATTCTGACTTCATATTTGATTATTGATGAATGAAACTTTGAAAGAGAACTTGTTAATGTTAAATGTCAGTTATCATCAGCATTCTGTAGGTTTTTGTCCCCAGCAACCTTGCAACACATACATTTTAAATCAGCTATCAGAGGGACTATCATCATACAATAATGACTGATTGTAATACAATGAAATGTATTTAAAATGTTATGGTATTTCTGTTTACCAGCTTAGAAAAAAATGAAGACCTTAGATACTAAAGCCCTGTCGGAATTACAGAAGAAGCCTGCCTGTATAAGAAACATTTGCATTTTAGCACATGTTGATCATGGTAAGATACAAAGGAAATTACTATATTACTTAGGCCTGTAGAATATATAATCGGGAATATTTTTAGGTGATAAAGTAATAAGAGTGTAACTATACAATTCAAAAGACCGCCTATTGTAATGACCTTATTTTAGGTGTATAAATGAAAACGGAGACTCTTTATTAACCAATCTTTGACCCTTGCAGTTTGAAATTTCATACAATGATTACAATGATTATAAAGACAATAAAATAAATAAAATACAACATAGAATAATGAACAGTCAGTGCATGCATAGGGAGGTGAGAATTGTGATAGGGGAGATAATCATTTAATATTATATGGATTAATTCCCTTTGTACATTATATCATATGTAATAGAGCATTATTTATTATTATTATAACAAATTACCAAATCATCTGATTCATCTACAATGTTGAAAATGTTGGATATGTATCAGATAGAATTTTTGAGAATTAAAAAAAATAAACCTTAAGTGCAAAAATAATCTATTGGCTGGATGATGTAAGGGTATTCACAGTGAAACAAAACAGTCACTTATTTTTACAAATCTTATATGATTACCAAAATGTTTTTAGGGTAATTTCATAAGTAAAACCTTATCATTTCTTTGTACAATATATTTTAAAAAGAAATACATACTCAGTTATAAGAAATATGAAAGATTATTTTATATTTATGTAAATTTCTTTTCTAACCATCAGATTTAAAAGGTTTTATATCTGTCTGTATCTGTGAAAATACATTATAGTTCACAAAAACTTTGGTATATAAACAACGAAAAATTAAAGCACATGTAGTTACTGAATTTTGAGGACCTATCTGAAGGCCTCTGGGCTTTAAGTCACAACTTGGTGTTCTTCCATCTGGTTCCACTCAATTATAGTTCTAGGAATAAATGATTGTTTGTAAATTTCACTGTTTGTGTCAATAGTTTATTACACTTAGAATTGTTTGTTTGTTTATTCTGAACTGGATTGTTCACTATATGGTCTTGTAATTAAACTGTTGATCTAATTCATCTTTTTTAACTTTTAAGAAGCTTTGGACACAGATTTAAACACACAAACTTGCATATTGTTTGACACAATGCTTATTAACAGCATGAACATAAACATATAAGTAACATTTTGTTTTTCAGGGAAAACAACACTTGCTGACAGTTTGGTGGCTAGTAATGGAATTATCTCTCAACGAATGGCTGGAAAGGTATATATTGGTGATATTTATAGACTTGTGTTCTATGTTTATGAACATAAGTATCTGGAGTTGACTAGTTACTTTGTTGACATCTTCCTGTGGAAATTTCTTCATTTTATCACTATCACACAATGGAAAGCTGGAAAATATATGTCTTTGACTTAGGTAAACCAGAACAAACCATGATCAACTGTAGATATCGTTATACTCGTTGGAGATTTTAGATTATTTTCTGTTATCTTAAGAAATTTAAACTTTTTCATACTTAATGTTAAAAAACAAAACTTACAAATGTTTATAACGTAAATCAGCAATAACTAATGTTGAAAGTAGGTTTCAGTTCATTCATTCCACATGTATACATTTTTTTAAACCATATTTTCAAAGTTCAAAAGATCAAATAAATTTCATCTATCATGAGATAAGTTTCAAGTTGTCTCATTTGTGTCATAAAGAGGCAATTTTGACTTTCTGACATTTAAAACAATATGTTAGTGTTCCAAAATCACAACCTATTTTAGATTATCTAAAAATATGATATACTTACTTTTAAATTTCCTGATGATTTCAGCTTAGATACATGGACAGTAGAGAGGATGAACAGATACGAGGGATTACAATGAAGTCAAGTGCAATATCTCTGATGTATAAACACTGTGAGTATAAAATGATGACAGATATAAAATAAAATGGGCAACAGTGTTTAAATATATGTTTACGATATATTTTAAAAGTACACAAACTGACAAAGAAACTACTTGAAACGATTTGAAGGCAAAATTATATTAGATATAAAATATAAGTCCCAGCTAGGATTTCAAAAGGGCAGGGAGCCAATCATGAAAAGGGCACTGTAGCACGCTGATTGATAATTCAAAAAGGGCATGTCAAACATTATCTTATGTAAACAGCAGGGGTTTCAGCTAGGAGTTTTGAAGGCTTTAGTCACTTTAACCTGAGATGAAAATCAGCCTTATTTTGGGTAACAGTAAGGGACCAAGGTTGTATATTACTAGCTATACATATGCCCAAGACCTTCAATTACCAGGATCTTTGAAGGCCTTAAGCATGCTACAAATGTAGGCAGTCATGGCATGATTTGACTGGTGTGATGCTTAAATAAAAGACGAGAACGAGGATCCGGCAAATTTAGTTCACAATTTCAGTTATTTTTAGAGGACATCCTGATCACCAAAAGTTTGGTTCCTCTTTTTTAAAACCAGGAATCACAGCAGAAATGAAATTGTTAAGAATATTTCACTACATTATCACTATCCCTGTAAAAACGTTGAAATCGATATTTGGAATTCATTTTTATAAACATTGAACGATTAAAATGACTCTATTTTAAATTTATGAAGAGTAGATCATGTTTACTTTGATTTTTAAACGAAATGAAAACAGGAAGTGACAAGAGGATAATAAATTTAGAATGAATCCGGATTCATCTACGGATTGGTTTGTGTTTAACAAAAAGGTAGGAAATTATCATTTCTTAAAATTAAGTTGCTCAGTAGAAATATATTTGTCTCTATCGTTTAATTTGATACTAAATGATTTTGTATTTTACGTTTTAGAGTCTATTAATTTATAAAAATATGTATGCGCATGCTAAAGAAAGCACATGTTTGACACTTGAAAATATTTTTGAATGTTTTGAATTAAATTTTAATCTTTATAATCGAAATTGTCGAAAGATTTTAATGAAAAGATATATAAAATGTGACGAAAATACGTTCAAATGACGAAACTATGTCATCCGAGCTACAGTAAGTGATCCTTCGAGAAATTTTGAAATTAAAATCCGAACCCTCCGGGGAAAATTAATTTTGTTCAATTGACGAAACTACAAAAACATCGATGGATAAACAAACTGCAAATTGTAGTCGTTTTAGAAATGTTGAAATTGAAATGCCGACTGACAGGTTTTACCCGGAAAAAAATATTTATAATGGTCAATAATGATGTTTAATTAACGGATTAGTGACCCATCCGATGGCGATAAGGGGATCATACCACAAAAAGAAGGCTGGGATTGAGTTTGGGGGTAATGAATCATAAGGGGGTTCAAAAAATTGGGGGGGGGGGGGATTTTTTTTTCTTTAAAATTTTCCATTTTAAATTGGTTATTTCTGATTTATATATAAAAGCAAATAATAATGATATGGTTTGAATAGATAGATTAAAAATTTTTAAGTTCTTAGACCACATTCATTCTGTTTCAGAAACCTATGCTGTGTCAAATATTTAATTACAATCCAAATTCAGTGCTGTATCAAGCTTGAATGTTGTGTCCATACTTGCCCCAACTGTTCAGGGTTCGACCTCTGCGGTCGTATCAAGCTGTGCCCCAGCGAGCATTTTATTGAATATTTAAATTGTGATATATGTGTATGGAAACCTAATGTATTTAAATTTTTAGGTGACAATGATTATCTTGTTAATCTGATTGACTCACCTGGACACGTAGATTTCTCCAGTGAAGTTTCAACAGCTGTCCGACTCTGTGATGGAGCCATTGTTGTAGTTGATGTTGTAGAAGGGGTGTGTCCACAGGTAAAGGATTCATCATATTAAAATAAGAAGATGTGGTATCATTGCCTACTATTGGTAACCGTACAGACTTCATCAATGAGCAATACAAGCTATAAAAGGCCCTGACATGACAAATGTAAAACAATTCAACCGATAAAAATTACAGCCTGATTTATGTAAAAAAAAAATTGACAACAGTTTGTACTGCACAAAGCTTTAGTTTATTCTGTGAGCTGTTTATATATGATTTTTTTTTTGTCTGTACACCTGTCTGGTAGCTTTTGGTGTGTATTGTAAATAATTTTTTTATATGGATTTGATTGGCTGATGCTCATAGTTTGTATCATAACTAGTTTAGTATCTGCTAATATTTATTAAGATATTGTTTTGTTTTGTAGACACATGCAGTACTAAGGCAGGCTTGGTTGGAGAACATCAAACCAATTCTTGTGTTGAATAAGATAGACAGATTAATAGCTGAATTAAAGATGGATCCGCTAGAAGCATTTTATCAATTGCAACAAACATTGGAACAGGTAAATTCACAATGAATTCAAACTTGGTCAAGCCTGATAAGATTGTTGAAATCAAATTTAAAGGAAGCAGCAAATTTATTCTTGGTGAAATCTATAAATGAATTGAGACAAATGAATGAATAATATTGATAAACTCTTGCTTGCTTATCTTTTAGTGATCATTATTTCATATATGTATAGGATGAGATAATGAAATAATAAGTTAGGCTTATAAATAAAAGAATTCTAAAAATATAATCATAGCTGGTGGTTATTTTCTTCAGGAACAAATTATACAGATAATTCTTAAAGGGTTACACAGAACCCTGTGTCTGGCCTGCAACTGTTGGTCTCATTCTGAAAGTGTTATGTTAAATGCAAAAAACTAAGTCCATTTATCAGTAAAATACAAGAAAAAATAGATAAAACCCTTTTCTCCAGATTCTAATTCTTGATCATGATGGAGCTTCTGTTTAAGTTTCCTAACATTCCATGTAGATTTATGAAAGTTATTGATGTCTAAAAAATTTAACCCCAGATTGTATGTAAAGGTTTACTCCAAAAAAAAGTCTATTTATCAAATTTTGCTATGGATATTGTTTTTTGATCATGAAAAAGTTTCCAAGTTTACTGAAATTCAATGAAGGTGTTACAAAGTTATTGATATCTAAAAAGACTTTAACCACAGACTGAATGAACCTCAGAATAAAAGAATAAATGTTGAGGACACCAATGAAGATAAAATCTAGGATTGTCATGTCAGGCTTTCACTACTTTCATCGCAGGCTTGACAATAAGGTGATGGGTATGATTGCTAATGAGACAACTATCAACCAAAGATCAAATGACAAGAATCTAAAAAACTACAGGTACCCTACAGCCTTCAACAATGATCAAAATCCATACTGTAAATCATGTAAATTAAAATTGACATTGCTGCACATGTTTATTTTCATTAGGGATATTTTTTTAATTGTGGTCCCCTTACAAAAATATCACAAAACAAAATGTAATAATATTAGAGAAAATTCTGAAAATATTGCTCCAAGTTTGTATAATCAATCGAAAAAGATTGCACTGTGAAAAAAAAATAAAATTTTAAAACATTTTTTGATATAAGTAAACGGGATGTGGTGGTATATATATGTCAATAAGACAACAATTAAACAACACAAAAACTGTAAAGATTAATGAAAGTCAAAGGGACTTTAGGGATGGTATTTATCCAATGATTTGATTTTTATAAATTTTTTGCGGTCGTATATTGGTATGACGTTGGCGTTGTCATTGTCGTTGTCATTGTCAGGCGTCGTCGTCGTCGTCCGAAGACACATTGGTTTTCGCACTCTAACTTTAGTTTAAGTGAATGGATCTCTTTGAAATTTGACCATAAGGTTAAATACCACAAAAGGAAGGTTGGGAATTAGGGGCCAAAAAGGGGCCAAAAATAAGCATTTTCTAGTTTCCAGACAATAACTGTGGAACGGTGTATGGATCTCTCTGAAATTATACTACAAGTTTCCATACCACAAAGGGATGGTTAGGATTTGCTTTGGGGGGTTATGGCTCAAACCGTTTAGGAATTAGGGGCAAAAAAGGGGGAAAAACAAGGTTATCCTGGTTAATGGACAAATACTTTAGTACAAAACATAATTTAAAGCAGTGTAAGGGAGATAAATCAAATACATCATTGAAATTACCTCCCTTACACTGCTTTTAAATTATGTATAAAGTAATGGTTAATGAACAATTAAGATAATTTAAAACAGTGTAAGGGAGGTAATCCAAATACAACGTTTTGGTTACTTCCCTTACACTGCTTTTAAATTATGTTTAAAGAAATGCATATTTATAAAGGAAGACCAGTAAAAATATCTGCAAATGTTGCATCTTTTTTTTTTACAAAAAAATCCATATGAAAGATTTGACACTATATTTTAAATTCTATTATAAAATAGATTAAGTTCGCACTATGGTAATTTTAAATGGGTAATTATGGTTGCAAACTCCATTGGAAATTTGAATTGAGATTACGACCATATCTTGAGGGAAAGAATTTTTTGGGGGGAAAAAAGGGGGGGGGGGGAGGTAAAAAGAAATTGTGGGGGGTCAATTTTTTCTCATTTCACATTTCAGAAATTAAAAAGAATTATTATTTTTTTTTTTCAAATTTCAAATATTGAAAAATTTCAAGAAGTAATCTTTAATTGCACAGTATGGCGCATTCGATTTGTAAAATCTTTGACCAGATTTATTTATTTGTTATGCCGAATCTAACCGTGTATTTAGATTTTTAATTTTGGGTCCAGTTTTTAAATTGGTCTACATTAATGTCCAAAGGGTCCAAAATTAAACTTTGTTTGATTTCAACAAAAATTGAATATATGGGGTTCTTTGATATGCTGAATCTAACCATGTATTTAGATTTTTTATTTGTGGACCCTGCTATCAAATTGGTTCATATTGAGGTCAAAAGGGTCCAAAATTAAACTTCGTTTGATTTCATCAAAAATTGAATTATTGGGGTTCTTTGATATGCCAAATCTAACCGTGTATTAAGATTTTTAATTTTGGGTCCTGTTTTTTAAATTGGTCTACATTAAGGTCCAAAGTGTCCAAAATTAAACTTAGTTTGATTTTAACAAAAATTGAATTCTTGGGGTTCTTTGATATGCTGAATCTAAACATGTGTTTAGATTTTTGATTATGGGCCCAGTTTTCAAGTTGGTCCAAGTTGGGGTCCAAAATTAAACTTTTTTTTTGTTTGATTTCAACAAAAATTGAATATATGGGGTTCTTTGATATGCTGAATCTAAACATGTATTTAGATTTTAGATTTTTGGCCCAGTTTTCAAGTTGGTCCAAATTGGGGTCCAAAATTAAACTTTGTTTGATTTCAACAAAAATTGAATATATGGGGTTCTTTGATATGCTGAATCTAACCATGTATTTAGATTTTTTATTTGTGGGCCCCGCTATCAAATTGGTTCATATTGAGGTCAAAAGGGTCCAAAATTAAACTTTGTTTGATTTCATCGAAAAATGAATTATTGGGGTTCTTTGATATGCCAAATTAACCGTGTTTTTAGATTTTTAATTTTGGGTCCTGTTTTTTAAATTGGTCTACATTAAAGTCCAAAGGGTCCAAAATTAAACTTAGTTTGATTTTAACAAAAAATTGAATTCTTGGGGTTCTTTGATATGCTGAATCTAAACATGTGTTAAGATTTTTGATTATGGGCCCAGTTTTCAAGTTGGTCCAAGTTGGGGTCCAAAATTAAACTTTTTTTGATTTCAACAAAAATTGAATATATGGGGTTCTTTGATATGCTGAATCTAACCATGTATTTAGACTTTTTATTTGTGGGCCCCGCTATCAAATTGGTTCATATTGGGGTCAAAAGGGTCCAAAATTAAACTTTGTTTGATTCCATCAAAAATTGACATTGGACCATAATAGGTAAATTAAAAAAATTCAAGTTCTTAGACCACATTATTTCTGTGTCAGAAACCTATGCTGTGTCAAATATTTAATCACAATCCAAATTCAGAGCTGTATCAAGCTTGAATATTGTGTCCATACTTGCCCCAACTGTTCAGGGTTCGACCTCTGCGGTCGTATCAAGCTGCGCCCAGCAGTGTTCTCCCCAGGCCCTTAAAGGACCGCGGGCCCGCGATGTATAATTTTTCACCGTGGTGGTATCGTTTTTACCGCGATGTATAATTTTTCTCTGTGGTGCTAAAATTTTCAGTTAAAAAATCGTAAATCGGTAAAGTTTTAAACGATTTGTCAAATCTTTTCCGTGCGGTATAAAATTCCAGGTGAAATTTGACCAGTTCAAACCAGTTCAACACATATTGTTTACACCACGTGATTGATTTACCTTTATGAGGTTAACCTTTGTTGATTGGATTTAACCGATGTAATTAACACTTTTTACATGATTCTTTTGTGTTTTAATTTAGAGATCATAACTTTATGATCAAAGATAACTATTTTAAGGCTTCACTCACCACCTGACAAGTCGGCAAATACTTTGTACACAAACCGTGTTGACCCGATAGTTGTACACACGGCGGTACATATTTTGTACATTATAAAGTTAGCTCAATACTTATTATATAGTTTTATATGTCTCTGATTAAACCATGGCCAAATTTATCTTTAATTATGACATAGTTATTGCATGCTATTCCGGTTTCAAACTGTCAACAAGTAATTCAAAGGAGAAGGATCACATGACCCAGTTAGTTCATGTAGAATATTCAAGATTATTTACAATTAACTGCAATCTATTCTATTTTATAAATAAAATGCACGACTGTACCTTAAAACTGGATATATATATCCATATGATCATTAATGAATAACAGAAGTGATCTTGCAATTTTAATCCATAAGCACATGTTAAATCTATTTATATCTACTTCCTGTCATTTAGGCGGGAAAATAGGGAGACTTTGTTGTTGACATTGAATATGTTACTTATAGATCTATAGACCCAAGATAAATTTATAGATTTAGCAATTCTTTTGAAATGGATCATGACAAATAAAGATTTGGATTTCAGTGCAGTATTAAGTCTGTATCTATGTTTGATTATCACCAAAGACAAGAAAGGCTAATATTTACATGTTCATGAAATCTATGGCAAAATGTTTTAAAATTTATGAAAAATTTCTTTTTATTAAAATTTAAGATAGAAACTGGTTCAGATTATTACACAATTTTGTTTCTTGTTAATTTTATATCTCCTTATGACAGGAATCCTTTCACATACAACAACTTTCTTTCTAGAAACTAGAAAGGTTTTTTAAATTGAACATTTTTGTTCTCTTTTGAATCTGGGAACAGTATATCTAACAATATATATGTTCCTGTTTGAATGATATTTTATTTTTATTGATCATGGATTTTATAAAAGATTTAATTACTTTAAATTTAGATGAATATTATGTAATGAATCATGTTTTATTTATTTTAAAAAAATATTAAAAGTATACAAACTGTTTATTGATCTTTTTAACCAATAATATTCTGACATAGTACACAGTACCACAGTATTAAAACTAAACAAGAGACATAAAAACTGCAGTAACTAGAAATATAGCGACGCCACGCGACACAACTGATTGTATGAATCATTTCACCAAGCTGTTCACACGCGTTACCCTGGTGCTATCCAAAAATCCTGGGGAGAACACTGCCCAGCGAAGCATTTTATTGATTTTTGGTGTTTTAATGCCACTTTTAAGCACCGCTTTTGGGCTATTTCGTGGCGGCCAGTTTTTATTGGTGGAGGAAGCCGGAGTGCCGGGAGAAAACCACCGACCTTCGATAGGAAGACTAACAATCCTAGTCAATTAAGATTGGAGTCGAGTGCACCCGCACGAGCGGGGTTCGAACTCACAACCTCAGTGTTGACTGGCTAGTGATTACAGTAGTAACTACTTAAACCACTCGGCCACCGAGGCCCCTATTTATCTTATGATAAATACTGCAACTAAAGCTTATTTATAGGTGAATAATGCATTTAATATTGATAGCAAAATATTATTTAACAACATTATCTTATTTTTTTAACAGGTTAACCTAGTGACCAGTGAGTTGTTTACATCTGAAATTATGGAGAAAACTTCAAATGTAAGTAAAATCAAATTAGAGTAAAATATGTTAAAACTTTATTAAATATTTACTTGACTTATCATAGTTGTTTTTACTGTAGTAAAAGAAGTCAGGAGTAAATGTTTTAAATTCAGTTATTCCACATGGAATAATTTCTGCATATTAACATAATATAAAGATAAAAGTTTTTTCATAAATGCTTATGATTGAAATTTATCTTATTGTTTTGATTTATGGTATTAAAGTACAGAGGTTCCATCACCTGGCTTTGTCAAACAAAAGACTTGAAAATTGGAATTTGCTGCTGCTTTGCTAAAAACACAGCATTTAGGGTTAAGGGCAAAGACTTGGTGGCTCATAATTGGAATAATGTGTCCTGTAAGAATGACATGTCTTCCTGCAGACTTATAACTTGTGAACAAGCTTGTTAAAATCTGGCTCAGCATGTTCTAGTAGAAAGCAGGGCTCATATTTATATCATGTTAACATGTTCTCATCTAATATTTATATGCCACTGGACGTTAAGCAAACAACAATCAATCAATCTAACATTTATGTAATATCTGGCACTGGACATTAAACACCAATCCATCCTCATCACCATCATTATTTAAGTATACCTTCATTTGAAAATACATTTTAACAGCAATAACCATGTATTTTTCATTTCAGCAAACTAATGGTAATGATAACATGGACGAATTTCAGGTCAGTCTAAATAACTTCTTTGTTATAGATGATAAAAATGAGAATTTTAGATTTTAAGTCATGAGGAATAGAATGGTTCAAACAATACATCTGGAAAGTACATCTTTATAAAAAAATTTGCTGCTCAAGATTATTTTCATAAAAAAACATTATGATCATAAATGGTTAACATTCCAAACAAACAGAAAACCTTATGACATGAAGATACATGATACCATTCAAAATTGTAAAGATCAAAATGATCTCAAATTGTTCATGAAGTATATTTACATGTGAATATAGAAGAAATTGATATATGTTTTGTCCTAAAAATCATGTACTTTGAATCTTGAATGTATGAACAACTTTTATTCTTGAAAAAAATATGAATATTAAAGAAATGGCCCGATCAGATCTCTATACTACACCATACTGACTTTAATGAAACTGTTAAAATGACACATTATTCAGAATTAGAGCTGCCAAGTCATTGCCCTTAATTCTGTTTAAAGATAACTGCTAAATGAGACCAATTTGTTTTACTATTTTAGTCACATGACACTACAAGTACATTTGAAGACACAGAGAAAGAAAGAAACATTTTCTTCTCACCAGACCAAGGAAATGTAATTTTCGCCAGTGCTGTAGATGGTTGGGGATTTACGTAAGAATGTTATACTCTCACATATTGTTACTTCATTTCCTAGGAAGTTACTGCCATTTTGAATGTACTAGTACATGTTATTTCCTTAGACAACTGAGCTCAAGAAATTCAATTCAAACTGATACTATGATTTATTGTTCACACACACACAACATCTTATGAACAAATAAGCTTCCTTTGTATGTGCTGAAACTTGGACAAAATAGTATGCTCCCTTTTAATATTGGTTATATAAAGGCCATCTTTTTATGCGACCGCAAAAAAAATTTTTGTGGTCGTATATTGGTATGACGTTGGCGTCGTCATCGTCGTCGTCGTCGTCCAAGACACATTAGTTTTTCGCACTCTAACTTTAGTTTAAGTGAATGGATCTCAATGAAATTTTACCATAAGGTTCAATACCACAAAAGGAAGGTGGGGATTGATTTTGGGGGTTATGGTACCAACAGTTAAGGAATTAGGGGCCAAAAATTAGCATTTTTATACGACCGCAAAAATCGTATATTGGTATGACGTTGGCGTCGTCGTCGTCGTCCGGCGTCGTCCGAAGACACATTAGTTTTCGCACTCTAACTTTAGTTTAAGTGAATGGATCTCTATGAAATTTTACCATATGGTTCAATACCACAAAAGGAAGGTGGGGATTGATTTTGGGGGTTATGGTACCAACAGTTAAGGAATTAGGGGCCAAAAAGGGGCAAAAAATAAGCATTTTTGTAACTTCCAGACATAACTTGTGTGTTAGTGTATGGATCTCTCTGACATTGTACCACAAGGTTCCATATTATACAGGGAATGCTGGGATTGATTTTGGGGGTAATTGCCTCAAAATATTAGGAATTAGGGGCCAAAAAAGGGGCAAAAAACAAGCATTTTTCTAGTTTCATGACAATAACTTGTGTGTAAGTGTATGGATCTTTCTGAAATTGTACTACAAGGTTCCATATCACAAAGGGAAAGCTGGAATTGAGTTTGGGGGTAATTGCCCAAAAACGTTTAGGAATAAGGGGCCAAAAAGGGGCCAAAAATAAGCATTTTTCTAGTTTCCAGACAATAACTTGTGTTCAAGTGTATGGATCTCTCTGAAATTGTACTGCAAGGTACCATACCACAAAGGGAAGGCTGGGATTGAGTTTGGGGGTGATGAATCATAAGGGGGTTCAAAAAATTTGGGGGGGGGGATTTTTTTTTTTCCTTTTCTTTTTGTTTTAAAATTTTCCATTTTAAGTTGGTTATTTCTGTTTTATATTTAAAAGCAAATAATAATGATATGATAGGAGATACACACCAAACAGGATGTGTAAATTATTATATTATAAGTATTGTGCAATAGCAAGAAATTTTCAATTGCACAGTATTGCACAATAGCAAGAAATCTTCAATTGCACAGTATTGCGCAATAGCAAGAAATCTTCAATTGCACAGTATTGTGCAATAGCAAGAAATATCCAATAGCACAATATTGCGCAATAGTAAGAAATTGTCAATTGTACAGTGTTGCGCAATAGCAAGAAATATTCAATTGCACAGTATTGTGCAAAAGAAGATACTTCGTATAAATTGCTTATTTCTTGACCAATTTCAATGGGGTTTTATTCTTGAATTCTTGGGGTTCTTTAATATGCTGATTCTAACCGTGTATTAAGTTTTTGGATTTTGGGCCCCGTTTTTAAATTGGTCCACATTGAGGTCCAAAGGGTCCAAAATTAAACTTTGTTTGATTTCATCAAAAATTGAATTATTGGGGTTCTTTGATATGCCGAATCTAACGGTGTATTTAGATTCTTAATTTTTGGTTCCTTTTTCAAATTGGTCTACATTAAGGTCCAAAGGGTCCAAAATTAAACTTAGTTTGATTTTAACAAAAAATGAATTCTTAGGGTTCTTTGATATGCTGAATCTAAACATGTATTTAGATTTTTGATTATGGGCCCAGTTTTCAAGTTGGTCCAAATCGGGGTCCAAAATTAAACTTTGTTTGATTTCAACAAAAATTGAATATATGGGGTTCTTTGATATGCTGAATCTAACCATGTATTTAGATTTTTGATTTTTGGGCCCCATTATCAACTTTGTCCACATTGAGGTCAAAAGGGTCCAAAATTAAACTTTGTTTGATTTCATCAAAAATTGAATTATTGGGGTTCTTTGATATGCCGAATCTAACGGTGTATTTAGATTCTTAATTTTTGGTTCCGTTTTCAAATTGGTCTACATTAAAGTCCAAAGGGTCCAAAATTAAACTTAGTTTGATTTTAACAAAAATTGAATTCTTAGGGTTCTTTGATATGCTGAATCTAAACATGTATTTAGATTTTTGTTTATGGGCCCAGTTTTCAAGTTGGTCCAAATTGGGGTCCAAAATTAAACTTTGTTTGATTTCAACAAAAATTGAATATATGGGGTTCTTTGATATGCTGAATCTAACCATGTATTTAGATTTTTGATTTTTGGGCCCCATTATCAACTTTGTCCACATTGAGGTCAAAAGGGTCCAAAATTAAACTTTGTTTGATTTCATCAAAAATTGAATTCTTGGGGTTCTTTGATAAGCTGAATCTAACCATGTATTTAGATTTTGGATATTGGACCATAATAGGTGAATGTCCAATTTAAAATTTTTAAGTTCTTAGACCACATTCATTCTGTGTCAGAAACCTATGCTGTGTCAAATATTTAATCACAATCCAAATTCAGAGCTGTATCAAGCTTGAATGTTCTGTCCATACTTGCCCCAACTGTTCAGGGTTCGACCTCTGCGGTCGTATCAAGCTGCGCCCTGCGGAGCATTTTATTAATTATGTTAAAAGAATCTTAGAATGACTGTCTCTTAAGGAAAACTAAAAGTAGATGACCGTTTCATGCTTTTCCCAGATGGACAATGTCCGGTAAATTTATAAATGTCCTGAATATATGACCGTTTTGGAAGCCATGAGTGTACCTCCCAAACACTCAATCCACATATGAAATGAACACTTTAAATTTGAAATAAACCTTTATTTCAGAAATATGAGAATATAGATAAAAAGGTTCACCGATTTGACTCAAATTCTCATATTTGATTTATAACATACTAAAAGGTATATCCAAATTACAATAAGTCTGAAATAAACAACTAACATTGCTTGGACTCGATAATATATATCAACATTTCGTTGGTATATTAGTTTAGGTGCTATCTAATTAACCATCAAGATGACCTCCGAAGACTGCAGACGGTCACATAACCCGATATAAACATAAACATAGATATAAATAGGTTGTGACATGTGCAATTGGATTTTTCTGTTTGATTTCATGTTGAAGTTTAAATAATTAAGTTAATCATCCTTTTTACCTGTATAAGAATGATTTTTTTGTGGACGGAATCAGTCAACGAAATGGTACACCTTTGTTTCACTTTCAATGTTGATATTATTTTCCTTTTAATGGCTGAACACCGTAACCAATCTCTAGCTAAGGGGTTAAATTGAAGGTCACATGAATCATCAGCGATGTTTCTTAGCTTATTTTGACAAAATTGAACTAAACTGCCTGCTGAAAGCGAATTATTATTTCACTATTTCACTTTCATTAAAGATTGAACAAAAAAAACAAAACATTTTTTTTTTTTTTTATCTCGTTGCTAATGCCCCTTTAATAACATATTTATGTCATGTTATATTTTACAGATGTGGGCAGTTTGCCAAGTTATTTTCCAAGAAAACTGGTATCAATAAGGATGTCTTATTAAAGACGCTTTGGGGAGATTACTTCTTGAATTCCAAAACCAAAAGGATTATGAAAGGTGCACAGGTACATGGTGATCAGCAGGAAAATTGTGTTATGGTTATGAGTTCAAACACCATAGGTTCATTATCCAGATATTAGTCATTCTTGGATTACGAACTTGTGGTGTAATGTTATCAGATAATTATCTGGTAGCGGATGACTTTCAGACACTATATTCATAGATAGTGTGCTACAATTAATCCATCATTCTGCCTCTGAAGAACTTAAAAGGTCCTTAAAAGACTGAAGCCAGTCGGGCTATGAATTATCACCAGGGGCTGTTAATAATGTGTTTTGGCAACAGTTACTTTTTATTTATCATAATTTTTTCTCTCCTGATACACATAATTAATATGGCATACACTTACGAAAGCTTCATTAGAGCTATTGTATTTAAAGACCACTTTATGTCAATTTTCTCTTTATTACTCATTTAAATTGTCTTTGTTGCTTTGATTTATAGTAGACAAATAACGGCCATTTAAAACTTTATCAAATTGCACAATATGAAACATTTATTGATAGCGGTACAACATTTAGACACAGGAAAGGTGCATGTAGGATTGTTAACATACATAAACACAAGTGTAATCCCATTATGTAGTTTATATAGAATTTCTTGATTAATTAAATAAAACATTTAGGTATAGCAAATATGCCAATTTCCTTGTTTAAGACTGAGAAAATAATTTTTATGCCCCCGCCATAGCGGAGGGACATTAAGTTTTACCCTTGTCCGTCTGTACGTCCGTACGTCCCAAAATTGGTTTCCGTTCTCTAACTGTAGTTTGCCTCAACCAAATGTTATGAAACTTATGCACAATGCTTATTACCACAAAACACAGATCAAGATTGAATTTTGGTGGCGCCACTTTTACCATTCTAGAGTAATGCTCCTCTACAAATAGACAAATTGCTGAATTTTTCGTTTCCGTTCTCTTACTTTAGTTTGCCTCAACCAAATGTTATGAAACTTATGCACAATGCTAATTACCACAAAATACAGATCAAGTTTGAATTTTGGTGGCGTCACTTTTACCGTTCTAGAGTTATGCCCCTTTACAAATGGAAAAATTGCTGGATTTTTCGTTTCCGTCCTCTATCTTAAGTTTGCCTCAACTAAATGTTATGCAACGTATACACAATGCTTATTACCACAAAACTCAGATCAAGTACAAATTTGGGTAGCATCACATTTACAGTTCTTGAGTTATGTCCCTTTATAACATTATATGCAAGCGGGGGCATCATCTGTGTCCGAAGCAAGGGTCCGGAAACGGTCATATATGCCAGACATGACCGATTTGGAAACTGAAAAGACCGAAATGATTTATTGGGATTTTGGTCTTTTTTTTTTTTTACAGAAATAATTTCGGTCATTTCATTGAGATCAGGGTTTTATCGGTCGCCATTTTGAACTTATTTTTGTTTTCAGGTCATCAAGAAAAATAGATTTGTTTGAGACAAAATAAAAATTTTATTGATTTGTGTTAGTGATTTAATAATATTTATCATTAGTCTGTTGTTTATTCTATAATGTAAGTGAAAACAATGTACAGGACTCTGTCGAGTCACAGCGTGGGGTAAGTCTGGGTTGAAGCCACTAGGTTTGTTTACATAGTAATTATCACCACTTGAGGATAGTAATCAATGTCCAGGAAGTTTGAATTCGGCTTGGGTGTCGTTATTGTCTTGATTAAAGCCATAAAGGCCATGTACACAAATCTCACCTGTAAACACCTGTTAAGCAATAAAAACAATATGGCGATTTGCTGTGCATCAAATTTAACGTTTTAACCATTCTGACCTAGATTTTCCCAAACAGATATTATTTTATTCATTAAAGAAGACAAATAACACTGTTGACTCGAGAATCTGTCAATTTTTATCCAAATAAAACATATAATCCATTTATAATCGATCAGCTGATTTGGTCAACGTTTGTTAAATATAGAATTATGTTTACTGAGTTTGGAAAATGGGGATCAACATGGGTTAATTGATAATCTTATTTAACTTTTCGGTAGGAAATGGCAGATAAAGATATTAATAGATTTGCAAAAGTGGTAAAGCCTATAATTTATAGGAATGCAGAATTAAAAAAAAATGTTTAAAAAAGGAATTAAAACTAAATAACGTAATTTAGATTTGAAGCCATACAGCCTATTTAAGAAATATACTCAGCGAATGAACAATCTCGATTTTTTTTTTTTTTTTTTGCACTTCCGATTTTTTTAAACCATCTTACTCACAGAATGTAATGGGCGTTATCCTTTCTTTTGTTTTCCTGGCTATACTTCCGATTTTTACCCAAGTGAAGCCATACATTCTCTCTGTAAAGACCAACAGAATTCATGGGCGTTTTTCTTTAATTGTTTCAAGGTTATTTTTGCTGGTATAAAAGCTTTGAATATTAAATATAAATTCATAATAAGTTCCAACAATGAATAAGCGTAAAAGAGAGTCGTCAGATGAAAACCAGAAACCTGCCAAAAATGCAGATCTTTCAATGCCAAATGGTTGCAGTTGTTCGCATGGCTTACCTTTGACAGTATACGTAATGCCATGTTCTGCACCATCTGCCAGAAACACAAAAAGAAAAACAATTTTGTATATCCCGGGGCCTGCAACTTCAGAAAGTCCACCTTAGTAGACCATGCAAGTTCCAATGATCATGTTCAATCCTTAAAGTCTGATGAAGCAGCCAAAGACAACAAACTTAAGACGATGGTAGAGAAGGTGTATGAAAAAACAGATGATGCCATGACAACACTGTTTAGAAATGCTTACTACATTGCCAAAGAAAATTTACCTATCGACAAGTACCAGTCCCTGAATGAGCTGTCCAAGATGAATGGAGCACCTATAACATCGACAATGTACCAAGAAGATACAGCTTGCTCAGAATTCATCAAAATTATTTCCTCCCAGATTGAGCAGACCGTTTTGCAAGATGTAAAAGACAGTCCAGTTTCTAGTGTAGAGTGTGAGCGTGGGTTTTCTAGGCAAAACCTTATAAAGACAAAGCTCCGATGCAAGACCAGCACCGACACTTTGGATCAGCTGATGCGCATAGGATTAGTTGGTGTTTCTGTCAAAGACTTTGACCCAAAACCGGCACTCCGTCAGTGGCAGTCTAACCGTCAAAGACAAGTGTACCAAAACAACAAACAGAATGCTTTCTCTAAGCTTATGAACGTTAGATAGACTTATATTGACTCTGTGTATTTGTGTTACCATTGATAGACTGCTATGTGTATTGAATATTTATAGACTGTCATTCCTAGAGTATTACAATGCAATTGTTTTTCATTGAATTGTTGTAATTGTGTACAAACTTCTGTTCAGATAAATTATTTATTTATTTAAAATCATGAATTTTATTATTAAATTCAATTGTTATCACTATACCAGACTTGAGTTATTTATTCAAAGAAAAGTTGAATCATAGTTTCCCCTTTTTGATCCTCATATCGTAAACCAGGTGAATACACATTATCTTATTGTGTATTAGGTAATCACTTACACTCATCCAAACAGCAGCAATTTGAACAATACAAACGATATCTTGTACATGCAATAAGAAACTCAACACAGTTTATTAATTGGTTTACATAACTTTATTTCAAAATGATGAAACATGCCGTACTTATTCCTCTTTTAATTTATGCAAATTTAAAGGGTTATGCATACGACCTCAGTGATGCAATACACAACAACAAAACGTCTCCTCGTGTAGTTTCTAACTCAGAGATATCACTGTTACTGTTAGATCAAGGTACAGTTACACTTGTCTGACCCAATACTTCACAAAAAAGGACTTTACTTGTCCATGTGCAAGACTTGTCACCCTCAGAAAAATGCATTATTGTGCATCACGATATTATTACATCACACAAAAAAATGACCGAAATGACATGGGAAAATTTCCGGATCCTTGGTCCGAAGGACACATTCCCCATTTATTTTTTTATGTTTACAGGCCAAAGGAAAGAAACCAATGTTTGTACAGATAGTTTTGGAGAATATATGGTCTGTGTATGAAGCTGTTTATGTTAGAAAGTAGGTTTCTTAAATGAAGTTTAACACCTTTTTTTATACGACCGTTTACGGGACGTATTATGGTATACCGTTGACCGTCTGTCCGTCCGTCTGTCAGTCAGTCTGTCGTCAACATGTCTGACATTAACTCAAAAATGCTTAACCAGATGTGCATAAAACTTTGGTGAATTGTATATATCTATTGACAAAAGCTCCCTTTCGTTTTTCATAAATTTTAGATTTTACGTTTCAGAGAAATGGGGTTTTATTCATTTTAATAAGGGGGGGGTTCCAGTTTTCAGACAATAACTAAAAAATGCTTTCTCCAATTTGCAAGAAACTTTGGTCAATTGTTTTTATCTATAGACATAAGCTCCCTTTCGATTTTTATAAATTTTAGATTTTAAGTTTTCGAATTATGGGGTTTTATTCATTAAAAAAAGGGGGATTTTCCAGTTTTCGGACAATAACTCAAAAATGCTTTCAGCAGTTCTCATGAAACCTTGGTGAATTGTTTATATCTATTTATGTAAGCTCCGTTTTGATTTTTATAAATTTTAGATTTTAAGTTTTCGAATTATGGGGTTTTATTCATTAAAAAAAGGGGGATTTTCCAGTTTTCGGACAATAACTCAAAAATGCTTTCAGCAGTTCTCATGAAACCTTGGTGAATTGTTTATATCTATTTATGTAAGCTCCGTTTTGATTTTTATAAATTTTAGATTTTTCGTTTCCTAGTTATGGGGTTTTAATCATTAAAAAAAGGGGGATTTTCCAGTTTTCGGACAATAACTAAAAAATGCTTTCAGCAGTTCTGATGAAACTTTGGTGAATTGTTTATATCTATTGATGTAAGCTGCCTTTTGATTTTTATAAATTTTAGATTTTATGTTTCTGAGTTATGGGGTATTATTCATTAAAAAAAGGGGGATTTTCCAGTTTTTTGACAATACCTTTAAAGTGCTTTGAGCAGTTTTCATTAAACTTTCGCGCCTGGTTTATATCTATTAAGATAACCTACCTCTATTTGTTTATAGTCTGACAACAGATTTACTAAGTATTGCGCAACAGCACAGTGTATTGCACAACAGCAAGAAATATTTAATTGAATATAAATTCAATTCATATAACCAATTTCAAGTTCTTTGACTACATTTATTCAGAAACCCAGGGTTTCCGCTGGCGCATTTTGCGAAAAAAAATCATCATTTGCGAAAAATTTTGGCGATAGAATTATAAAACTGTTTGAGGTCGTCCATCTTGTTTTTTCTTTCGGACTTCTCGGATTTTTTTCTCTAATCAGTCAACACTCAGCTTTTTACCTTGTACACGTCACGCGATATGATTTTGACAGAAAATCAATAATCAGCTGATTGTCAATAAGTACAAACATTAGATAGCTATGGGCAATAAACTTATCAATAAAAAGGTGTTAATTATATGGTTTTATAAAATTGTTTGGTCGAATGGCTTCATATGTCCCATAAGTGAGTTGTTTTAAGATCTTTTAACAACTTTTATAGAAATTATTGTTACAAAGTTTAATCTTCACAATCATTTTAGCACTCCTGTTTTAAAGATATTTTTTATCTTTTAACTTTACATTTTGACGATGGGCCGAAAAAGGAAACTTTTTTTTGAAGAAACACCTACAAAGATACGAAAAATATCGGATTTTATTCAGAGCCCTTCAAGTTTGTCTAAACGGAATTCTATACCAGAACATGTACAACTGTTGGAAGACGAAATCAGACCAGCTGATGGTGTACATACAATTATTAGAACACCAAAATCATCAAAAAAGGTTGCAGTTAGAAATTTTAGGGATGATATAAGGGATAGTGGCAAATATAGAGATGAAGCAAAATCTGCTTGTAGAATTTTTGTGTCTAATTTGTTAGAAAATTTAAATAGAAGATTTTCTTTTGAAGGTGATTCTGAAGTGCTATCTTCAATGTGTAATATATTTAATCCTATTTTATATAGCAATGATTGCAAAGATAAATTTTTGAAAAGTGCAAAACAAGTTGTACAACATTTTTCTGATTGTAATTTAAATGATTTTGAAAGTGAAGAAATGTTAGACCAAATTGTAACATTTTCACATGTTGTGAAGTCATCTTATTCACATTGTTCAAACAGTATTAATGATGTATGTCAAGTAGCTCTTAAGCATAAAGAAGTCTACAAAGCAGCAGAAAAATTATTAACTGTTCCCGTATCATCTGTGGAGTGTGAGTGGGGGTTCAGCAGACAAAACATTATGAAAACTAAGCTTAGAAATAGACTAAGTACAGATTCATTGTTCCATCTTATGATGATTTCTTTAGAAGGGCCTTCTTCAGATTTATTTGATTTTAATAGAGCTTTTAAAAGATGGGCAGACAAGAAAAATCGAAGAATGTATTTTTACTGTATCTATACAAGCAGATAAATGATAAATAAAGTATGTTAGTCTAATTTGGTGTTCATTTATTGAAATTTATATTATTAAAGAAAGATGTGGGGTAAATGTACATGAGACAACAATGCTGCACATTGAACTTTATCTTCATTGTAGTAAAGAAAATCAGTTGGCGAATAAATTTTAAAAGTGGCGAAAGAGGTGGCGAAAAAAAATATTGACCTAGGGGAAACCCTTGAAACCTATAATATGTCAAATATTTAATTACAATCCAAATTCAGACCTGTATTAAGCTTGAATATTGTGTCCATTTTTGCCCCAACTGTTTAGGGTTGGACTTCTGCGGGCGTATCCAGCTGCGCTCAGCTAAGCAGTTTATTTTTTACAGTTTCATGTCAGTACTTTAATTCAGGTTTGCCTGTTATTTAACAAAGTTATAGAAATTTGTATATCCCAAGAAAGATGAAGTTATAGAAAGCATGACAGCAAGAAACAATGCATATAATTAATGAATGTATCATACGTCTGATGTTTATCAATGCAAAAATTGTATTTCACTATTTTGATATAATACTGTATATCATGTTATTTTCATGTGTGTTTAATTTTCGCTTTGTTCATGGCAGCTAAGAAAGCGCAAAAATGTAACACAGTGTAAATTACCCTACATATTCCATGATTTATGGCTGTTAAGTTGTGTCATATATTAAAGCAGAGACATATATATAAACAAGGAATATAAATTATATGTCTCTAATTATACTGTTAATTATAGAGGTCACACGGAATTGTAAACATTTTTCATCATTAAGGCAAAATAACATTATATTGAAAAATAAGTCTTTTATGTTGATCGAAAGATCACAAAAATGTGCAGATTTAATTAAATTCTCTGTTTTCATAATAATTAAATTGGCTTATCATAAACGTCGCATATTTTGACAACACAGCAATCAGTGACAAATTGAAATTCAAATGTTAATTAAGGACAATCTATTGATTGTTGTCAAAACCCAAACATTTCGCATATAATATAAAAGAAAAGAAAAATAAATCACATTTACATGGATATTGGCATAAATATGCTTGATAAATAACTGTTTTACCATCACAAAAATGATCAAAACTTTCATGTTTTAGCATGATACGATGTACATAACTTACTTTCCATGAATGTTCTCTGAATAATGTTTATTTTAGTGTGTAGTACTCATATATTTAGTTACCTATTCTCTGTCAGTCAATCATGTTTATGTCAATTACGTTTTAATAATGATATACTACAGTGATTTTTTTTTTTTCGCATGTATTTTTCCAATCAGCGTAAATAAAACACAGTGAAAATTTAACCTGCCCATTTTGTAATCAAATCTCGAAAAAAAAGTTGATGCGAAAAAACCCCAATATATGGTTTTCTATTGTTGAAATGTTCATTACATTTTACAGAGATAAAGACATGATAGAGAAGATAGTTAACTCCCTTGATTTGAAGGTGTCACCACGAGACATAAAACACAATGATCCTAAAGTACAGATAAAAGCAATTACTACACAGTGGCTCCCTCTATCAGATGCTGTCTTAGGTTGGTAAATTAATCAAGGTCAACAGCAGGTTTCATAATATAGATTGGAAAAGAAATGGCATGAGATGGAAAAATGAGAAAACAGTCATTAAGGTTCATGTGGACCCTTTGCAAAATCAAGTTAAGTTTTAAATTTTCTAAAACATACAATGCATTTGAAATTTGTTAATCTAGGGCATGCTATGCCTTAAAACTTTTCCAGATGCACAGGTTTGTCTGTACTCAGAGTAAATTTTGATGTGAAAACGCAGCCATTTTAGCCAAAGGGTCCACATGAACCTTAAATACTGGGTAAAAAACAATAAATCAAAGACACAGTGCTTTTATTGTTGTTGTTCATGTTAACAGTGTTAGAAGGTCTTTATGGTGGAGCTGTAGTGATCATGCTTTACAGTATGATCCACAACTGTCAAAGTCTTTCTGCCAATAATGTTATTAGCTGTCCACCAAAAGGCATTCTGTAAACGATAATTACAAACATATAGACTTTCATAGGGCACATTATTTCAAGATACATACAAGAGAACTTGACATGGAAATTAAGTTTGGAATGATTTATGATGATGTTATACCACCATGATAATTATCTTATAAGAAAGCATTTATAGTTGTTATACAATAAGGAGCATCCACCTCTAGCACAGGGGCTCAGGCCACAATTAAAAATATTTCAGTTTGCCCAAACCCGACCCATGATGACTGGGTGTGGGTAGGTAGGTAGGCAAATTCTTTTTTTTTTTTATCAGAATTTGCATGAAAATATTAAAACAGTATACAGTCGACTCCACTTAATCGCATACCGCTTAATAGCATAATTCGGTTAATTGCATGATTTTTCTCCTGCACAAAACCATTTCCCATTCATCTAATGTTAAATTATCCGGTTATATGCATAGCCTTACAAGTGGCCTTTCAGTTAATTGCATAGAAAATAATTGCCGGCTAGATATGCTTAGTTCAAACTGACGAGATTTTTGACCGGAAACGGCAATTTGGTAAGTATATTTTTCTTGATTGCATCATTATTTTCGTTATTATTTCATATTCACTTTTGTGTTATTAAAATAAAGTTTTAAAACAGTTTCTTTCGTGTTTATATGATCAAACTGATGATGGAGTTTTACTTTAAATAACCCTTGATGTGTACACAGGTGAAGTTTCCCATGTTCTATTTTAAGCCTCGAGGTCATAAAATGTCAAACAGGTATTTGTTGTTAAAACATAAAAGGTGTTAATTATTGATTGGATTTTAAGCATTGTCCAAAAATAACATTTGGGGTGAATTTTAAAAACAATAACGCCTGCTAATTTACTTTGAAAGACCATCCAATGTGTACTCTCGCTAATCGGCTTGGGGTGATTTGCATTTATGTTAAACATTACAGGGCATTTATATATGGTTGAAGAATTTTATTCGTCAATCTTTTATTTTTATTATTTTTGGAAAAGAGCATTCACTTCTAATTATTATATTTTCACACGTTCAACACTCGTGTCCAGCAAATAACGGGTCATAGAAACAAATCTATTTTTAGAACAATTTGTTCAAATTTTGTATCCCAGGTAAAGGAAACATCGGTACGCAAATAAACTAAAACAAAATGTGTTTTTAAACTTTATTAAAAGAATACAAAATACAATAACATGAATAACACTAGACTTATAACTTTTATTAGAATAAATCAACATTCAACATGTTGTAAGTGGATTATGGCCGTTCATCTTTCTTCAGGGATTTCCTTTACTGTCGATGTTATTTGACTCCGTAATTTGGCATTTCGGATATAAGTATACTCCGCTTAATTGCATAATTTTGTCTGACAAATAGGCTATGCAAATAACCGGAATCTTTTTTTTTCCGTCAAACCTTTGTAGAGACAATCAAAAGCCATGAAAAACTTAGCCTGGGATCCTGGCTCACTGCACAACAGTAGACAAAGTATTAGATTGGGTCAGGATGCCAGGCTATGAAAAACTGTCTGCCATTTTCACATGTTTTACTTCTTTACGTTCGTTAAATCAGAAGATAAAAACCGAGAACATCGAATATCGATTAACTGTGTCTCTTACACGCTTTCTTTTAATCTTATTCACAGTTACTTTCAAACGCAAAGACGACGAACATTAAGTCGTTCGCGTTTGGGCAAACATACAATATTTTTATTTTGGCCTCATTTTACTGCATACACACAGGCTGAGAAATAAAATTTTATATACTAAATAAAATACTTATTTTGTTGCCAGATTAATTCTATTTATGAAATGTTGAATTGGGTTGTTCAAGATTCTTAAGGATAACTAGAATATGGTATAATGAAATTTACAGACATGCACTGGTAATGGTGTTCCTGAAAAAGATCTTTAGGTGGATTGAACAGCACTTTATATTCTCTCCCACCATGTTTAGAATTTAATTTTGAAGAGTTGTTAAGGCAAGGCTTTTTTTTCTCAAAAAGAGCCACTATCAGTCAGATTTTAAAAGAAGTTCTTTTCAGCTCCCAAATTCAATATTAATATGGAACAGCCATACTAGTAGTTTGATTGTTGAATTTAGTTTAAATCGAACTCAGTGAACAATTTTTCAAGAAAAATCCTGTTTTCAAAGTGAGATGTGAATACCATGAGATTCTATGTAACTGGCGGAGGACTGTTGCTGGCTATTAAAATTTTTAATGATTTTAGTTTTCTTTCATGAACCATATGATGAACTGTATAGTCCAGGTTAACTGCTTACTTGTTATTATTAAAACAATAACTTCTGTGACAATTTGCTAGTTTTGACTAGTGTTGTCTTGAAGCAGACCTCATGTTGTGCTCTAACTCTGACATGGAAGTTTCATTTTTATGCTCCACCTACGATAGTAGTAGGGGCATTATGTTTTCTGGTCTGTGCGTCCGTTCGTTCATCCATCAGTTCGTCCGTCTGTCCCGCTTCAGGTTAAAGTTTTTGGTCAAGGTAGTTTTTAATGAAGTTGAAGTCCAATCAACTTGAAACTTGAAACCTATAATATGATCTTTCTAATTTTAATGCCAAATTAGAGCTTTTCACAGTCCACTGAACATAGAAAATGAGTGTGGGCATCCGTGTACTATGGACACATTCTTGTTTTTTAATCTAACATAAAGAAAATTTCAAGTTCAGGCCATTTTAAATGAAAGATCTTCAATTATAGGAGCTGTTGTAGAAAAACTACCATCTCCACTCCAGATAACAGAAGACCGGATAGAAAAATTAATGTGTCCTCATGGGAAAAGATTTGATAAACTTCCTCAGGAAACTCAACAGCTAAAAGAAGGTAAGTATTGATGTGTTAAGACAGGATAGAAAAATTAATGTGTCCTCATGGGAAAAGATTTGGTAAACTTCCTCAGGAAACTCAACAGCTAAAAGGAAGCAAGTATAGATGTTTACTCAGAGGTTAAGATTTGATAAACTCCCGTTCGGAAACTCAATTGCTTAAACAAAGTAAGACCGGTATATAAAACATTCTCAATAATATTTTTAAAAGCATTCATAGAAATGATGAAATTACTCATGAACAAAATATGAATAGCAGTGGATATTATACCTATGTGGCTCTGTTCTTTTCAATTTTGTATGCTTGCTCTAGTATATTTGCTTCTACCGTGTCAAATTATTATGCCTATCAAAAAAGGGTATAAAAGAGTAACAGACAGGTCTAAAATTCATGTCAACTATCACATCAGTGTGTACTAAAATGTTGGAATAATTGCATCAGAATTTATCTCATTACATTTAACATGTACATGTTCTGGAATAGCTTATGTGTTATGTTTTCAGATTTTATGAAGTGTGTAGCCACAGAAGAGGCCCCAGTGATAGTATTTGTATCTAAGATGTTTCCGGTAGAAAGAACTGATTTGCCACAGAATAAACAGAGGTTCAAAATTTAAATTCTACCCTTTAATTTCATGTATAAATAGAATAGATTAAGGTTTTTATAGAGCAAAGTTCATTTTAATGTATAGCAACTGTATATTCAGCTATAAACAAAATAAGTTGAAAATTTGTTTGTAAATTTGTTAACACATGTAATGGTTCTGTTGTAGTATGAATAAACAAGTTTATATAGGAAACAAAATATTTTTATATTTTTTTATAGACATGGATATAAAAAGTAAAAAAAAATGGATCTGAATATAAATAGTTAACACATGTCTGGTAACACTTTTAAGCAACTATTTATATTTACATACTATTTTCCCTACAAGATAATGGGAAATTCTGAAAAATTGATTTATTGAGTTAAAACAACTTCAGAATATAAAGACAATTTAAGGTACTTTCTAAGAAATTAATTTTTCATTGAAAGTAAGTATTCTGTTTTTTTTAATTATAAAACTGATATCAAAAGTACAAATAATGGACTTTTTAAATTAAAATTTGAAATTATAATATCAGAGATGTCTAAAGTAAAATCTTTTTTTTATGAAAGACCTCTTACAGATGAAGACATTCAAAAAAGAAGAGAACAGGCAAGACTAAGACATGCAGAGAGAATGGCTACAACATCTGATAATAGAACGACAACACCATCAGATAGTGTAGAAAAGATAGAACAACCTACTGTGTCAAGGAACATAGAAGAAGAGGATATATCTGGTAATTATACATCGTCATGTGAATGGGAATTGATTGATTGACTGATGGCTGTTTAATGTTAAGCTGTAAATATTACATGTTTGTAAGGACAAAAAACAGGAGAATGTGAAATGAAGATATTCTGCCTTGTAATGGAACGACATGCTGAGTTCAATACACCTTATCGCCATTTATTCCAATCTGGATAAGTTCTGAAATTACACAACTTTTTCATCCAGTTGAACCTGTCTGGGGCCCAGTTTTAACAATGTATTTTGCATAAAACTTTTCAAAGAGACATTTTTTAACCATCGTAAACACTTTAAACAAGGCATTATTATGATTTTAATTTGTGTTTTAAAAAAGTTGGTCATATTCAATCAAATTTTCAAAATGTTCACATTCTAAACTTTTTCCTCCCTCAGCTCGTTACTGATGACCTTTGTTTTTGCGACACTTGACCCAAACAGGAAGTTGTCTAAGTGACGTTTTTTTTCCAGATTGGACTATTAAAACAGGGATAAGGTGTATTTTTAAAGTGCTAGATCCAAGATAACAATCAGCAGGAAGACATGTCACACATTATTCTGAAACAGCTAACCAGTTTGTTCTTATTCCTAAATACTATTAAACAGCAACCAAAATTAACATGAATTCATTTAAACATGAACTTAAATTTACTAATTGTTACTTTTTTATCTGCTGTTATTTTCACAAATGGATTATCTCCCTTCTCTCTCTAAATAAAACATGAAAATTAATATGCTGTCAAAATAATATAAATACACATGTATTAAAGTTTATTTTTTGTATCACATGTGCTTCCAACTGTACTCATTTTTTGTTTTTCTGTAGAACAGCAGTTACAATTAAATGAAACTCATCTGTTACATAGTGCATGATCATACTTGCCAGACATGACTGGAACTTGATAGTTCATGCTGATGAAGGTCATAAAGTAATCAGTCAGGATAATACTTTATATTTGCTTTGAAAAGTTTCATTAAAACCATTTTCCAAATTCTTATAAAATGGTCTCTTTTAGCATGTATTTAATACTCTAAACGAGGATTTAATATGCAAATTGGTTGAAATTTTGTTTTTATTCTATTTTTAAGATAAAGAATCTCCTGTTGGTTCTGACACAGAACCTGAACCAGACCAAACATTTATAGCTTTTGCCAGAGTAATGAGTGGTGTTGTAAAGAGAGGTCAGAAGTTGTATGTCCTAGGACCTAAACATGATCCAGAATTAGCTTTAAAAGAGGTATGTTGTATTAACAGACTACTGTAAATTCAGAAATTATTGTGTGCATTTATTATTGCGAATTTTGAAGAAAGGACAAAAATGTGAGATTTATTATAATGATTTCAGGACAATCTGCATATATCAGAATGCGAGTTCCAATTATTGCGATTATCACCCAGTCGCATTTTTCGCAAAAATGAAAACCTTACAATAAATTCTGAATTAACAGTATTGAGGATTCATGGCTATACATGATTTTTACCATTTCATAAGATAATTGGTTGCTACTTAACCAAAGGTAAATAAAAATGCTTCGAAATGGTAGGAATGGGAAAAAATATTCAGCTACAAAGTCATACAGTATTTTACTATTAAAAAGGAGAACTGAGAAAAAAAATACTGTTCTAATTAGAGACCCATAAATATATATAAATTTCAATATTTAAAAAAAAAATCAAAGATTTCTAGTTATGAATTTATTTCAGACAAACATACTACAATGACAAACCAACCATATGTATGACTCTTTTGTCTGTGTGCATTTAAACAAGAAGGGAAAATCTTTACCAATCAGATTAAAATTTAGTCCATAAAGATTTAAATCAACTACAGATTTCCTAATTCTGTACTGAGCAAATTTAAATTGAAGAGAAGTAATGATTTGGGCTTAGGGTGGTTAATATGTGCTAACAGAGCTAATACAGAACACTAATTACAACAACATGTATTATCTGATTTCTTTTCCCTCTAATTTGTTAGTTGATTTATACTTTCCCTGACAAGTTAATTATATCATTATGATCAATGTGTCATATAGTTAATCATTAGACTATTCAATTATGATGTTAACTTTTCTTGCTTTCTTTTAATTTTGTTATGGTGATCTCAATGCAATATTTTCCAATCATGACAATTAAATTTTGAATGTATATGAATTTAAGGGTCTTTAGTGGACAGAAATTGTAACACACTTGATTTGATGGTAGAATCTATATATGAGCTGCATCGAATAGAAATTAACCTTATGCAAGTGCACGTATATATGTACATGTATAAAACTTTGATTGATTTTGGAACATTCAAATACGAAATAATAGATGAATTTTGGTCTGTATGTAGGTTCTTATATCGACTCAATTTTCAAATAGTTACAGACTTTGCAAAGAGATGTTTTCAACCCAAAATTTAGTTAACAGATGTATCCATATATCATATATTGTAATGATGATGGCATATAATATGTAGTTTTGGTTTGTCAGGAAGCTTCAGGACACCAGATAGATGATACCTTATCTATAAAAGATTTGAGTAGTGACAGACATATAACAGTAGCCACAGTTAGAGATGTTTACCTTTTCATGGGAAGAGAACTAGAACTCATGGATAGTATTCCTGCAGGGAATGTACTTGGTATAATTCTAGTTTTTATTCACACAAGTTAAAAATTTAGAATTTAAAAATTTACATTATTATACCCCCGCTTAAAAAAAGTGGGGTATATTGTTTTACCTCTGTCTGTCTGTCCGTCCATCCATCCTTCGGTCCGTCTGTCAGTCCATCCGTCAGTCTGTCCGTCCGTCCCATGAATATTTTTTCGTCACATCTTTCTCCTGAACTACATAACAAGGATTTCTGAAATTTGGTTTCAGGGTTTATATAAGTCAGCTATACTGTGTGATACGTTTTTAGATTCATCACTCAACAACTTCCTGTTTACTGAACACTTACATCATTTTACACATGACATCCAAGTTGAAAATTTTCGTCACATTTTTCTCAGGAACTACATCGCAAGGATTTCTGAAATTTAGTTTCAGGGTTTATATAAGTCAGCTATACCGTGTGATGCATTTTTAGATTCATCACTCAACAACTTCCTATTTACCGTCAAGAATTTGGGTGGGGGTATCATCAGTGAGCAGTAGCTGGCAGTTTCACTTGTTTGAACTTTTTTCAAAAAAAATTCTGAGTCTCAGATTGAACAATCAAATAAAATTGAGAATGGAAATGGGGAATGTGTCAAAGAGACAACAACCCGACCATAGAATGCATGTTTCAGATGAGAAATAAAGACATCTTTTGTTTTATTGGTTGAGTTGCTTGTCTCATTGATGTATAAAGGCCCTCGGTGGTCAATTTATCTAATTGGTAATCTACAGTAATCACTAGCCTGTTAGCTTTGAGGTTGTGAGTTTGAACCATGCTCTTGGTAAGGTGTGTTCGACATTAATATTAATTGACAAGAATTGCCCATTTTTCTGTGGAAGGTTGGTGGTTCTCTCCTAGAACTCTGGATTCCTCAACCAGTATAAACCAACCCAATGATATAGCAAAGGGCGCTGAAAGTGGCATTAAACAGCAAAAAACAAACACTCATTGATATATATCCCACCTTTAATTAATTAAACAGGATTTAATCTGTATAAGTTTCTCAATCACTGGTGTGCATTATTTTTAATCCACTGTTGCCTATCCCTGATGGTTGAGAACCTAAGTTTTTACAGAAAAAAAATGAAAAATATAAAGCTTTGTGGATGCTATTTGATAGTAAGAATATAAACCAATTATTTGTATCTGACATAAAAACTATGTGGAAGAAAGTATGCAGAAGTTTTGAAGTCAGATGTGATTGTGAGTCAGATTTAGAAATATGAAAGAATATTTTCATGAAATACCCATTATGATGACGGTTATTGCAAATTAAATGTATATATGTTTAAAATTAATATTTCAGGTATAGGTGGATTAGAGGACCATATCTTAAAGTCTGGTACAGTATCCAGCACTGTAGCCTGCCCTGCCTTTACAGACTTGTACTTTGATGCTTCACCAATTGTAAGAGTGGCTTTAGAGCCAAAACATGCTGGTAATTATGTAATTCAGAAAAAGAAAGAAGATTATGAAAAAACTTATAGAGCCTATATAACATTGTTCCATGCAATTTTTAGAGACAAAAAACTAGAGACCTACTGCTATTTTCCTGACTTGGTACATCACTTTTCTGTAGAAAAAGTAGTAGTTAAGTCTGTTTTATTGCACAATATCATTCACTTATCATAAAAGATATTTGACAATTGAAGTTATGAAGTTATAGATTCAAGTCTTACACACATCAAGTTTTGATCCAAGGGATGTATTGTGACTCTGTTTATTTGCAGAAGTTTCAAGCAGATAGTCAAATACTGTTATGGTCTCCCCAATCAATTAAACAAACCATAAAGGTAAAAAACATAGCATTTTATCCCAACAAACAACAATTAAAACTGTTGATGAATATATGTAGGGGAAGCATACTCAATTTTCTTTCCTGGGTCTTCATTACTTGAGGGTATGTAATAAGTACTTTTTATACAAATTTAAAAAATCAATGAGAACGAAGGTGTAAGTCTGAAAGGTACATCATTGAAGCTAATAACTATTTTGTTGAAATAACAGGAAAAAGATTTTTTAATATTACATGCATATCATAAATGTTCATATAATTACAGTTGATATGAAGAAACTTGTACAAGGATTAAAATTATTAAACCAGGCTGATCCTTGCGTCCAAGTCATGGTACAAGAAACTGGAGAACATGTGATTGTCACAGCTGGAGAGGTCCATCTACAAAGATGTGTAGATGACCTGAAAGAGCGGTAAGTATATCAGTATACCAGTGATTGTCAAAGCTGAAGAGTTAATCAATGGAAATGTGTAGCTTACTTAAATGGGACAAGTCTTTATGTTTTTTCAATGTTTCAAATTTTGGATATCAATCACACAAACTATATCTTTTTTCCCACATAAAGAAAAGCCTTGTCCAATTATAAAAATATACAAAAATATATCATTTTCTAAAGGTATGCCAAGATAGAGTTGAATGTATCAGAAGCTATCGTACCATTCCGAGAAACAATCATAATTCCTCCAAAGATTGACATGGTGAATGAAGTTATACAGGATACCAATGTTGTTATTAAGACTAGCAGGATGAAGGAATTTGAAGATGATGAAGAGGTGTGTTTTTTGTCTACAATATTAAACAGGAAAGATACATATATGTCACAATTTTTTACACTAGAATTATATCGAAATTTCTTTTCATGTTTAATAGTTTATTACTACCAAATAAATAAATAAAGAAAAATAGCTGTTAAGGAAAACTACAATTTAATGAAAGTTACTGAAGTAAAAATTGTGAAATCTAGAGAATATGTTTTCTTTACAAAAATGTTCTTTTACAAAAAATAAACTGTTATGGAGCTACAAATATAAAAAAGTATGTAGACAAATTATGAACATATTGGAGAAATAAAAACAGTTCACAAGTAGATACAAGTATGCCGAGCTTGAAATAAATGTTTACAAGTAGAATCTAGTTATTGGTCATCAATAATAACCAACCATTTCCAAAGCATGCTAAGTGCATGCTATAGTGGAGGGGGTAAAATTATCGACAATTTTCTTGCACACATTTCTTAAATTTGATTTTTCCTCCTATAATTATATTTGTATTCTATTGAAAATGGTTAAAAGAGGGTGAGGTGTTGAAAAATGTAAGTTTTGCAACTTTTGCATGCATTAGAATGGTTGACAATTATGAATAGCCATTAAGGAATCTCCTTTTGATCTTTTTAGGTTATAAAGCCAGGACTTATTCAGACTTACACAACTAATAAGAAATGTTGTGTTGTAATCAGAGCTCAGCCTCTTCCTGATGATATTACCAAACTATTAGAAGATAGCATGGACCTACTGAAAATGTTAGATCATCTAAACAAAACATCAGACATTGTCAGTTTAAATCTATCAATACAGGAAGGAATCAAAGATTTTAAATCTAAACTTGGCAAAATTTTTGATGAATCTGGAAAATTTTGGAGAGGTGCTATTGACCAGATATGGGCTTTTGGTCCAAGGAGGGTTGGACCAAATTTGTTATTAAATAGAATTCCAGAATACATTAGACAGACTGTGTGGACATGTTTAGATAATGAGTCTGAAGGAAATGGTGAATTGTGGGACCTTGACAATAGTTTTGTTAGTGGATTTCAAATAGCAACATTGTCTGGACCTCTTTGTGAGGAACCAATGAGAGGAGTTTGTTTTGTTATTGAAAAATGGGAAATGATGAATGAGACAGAAAAATCTAAAGATATTGTAGAAAAAGAAAGTCATATACAAAATGAAAGTAGATCTGAATGTTCTAAAACTTCTGTAAATGATTGTGATATAGATAATATACAAAAGTTAACATCTAAGATAGATTTGGGAAATAAATGTAACAGTGATAATGAAGCATCTTGTTATAAAATAAAAGATTCTGTAGCTAGAGAGAAAACAGAGACTTATGGTCAATTCTCAGGACAGTTAATATCGTGTATCAAAGACGGCTGCCGTAAAGCATTCCAAACCCAGTCTCAAAGATTAGTGGTGGCAATGTACAAATGTAATATACAGGCTACAGCTGAGGTTTTAGGTAGGTTATGGTAATAATTAATAAAGTTCTTTGTTTGACAGTGTTCCTTTGGGTTTTTTTTCTAAAAAGAATGGAAGAGGTTTCAATTGACAAATAGTAGAGTCTATACTAGTAGTTATTTTAACCTCTTTTTACTTGACAAGCAAAAATTTTTTATGAGATGGGAAGATAATTGCAGTCTTATATATAATGGTATAGGTTGATTAACAACTTACCCCCATGCATTTTCTTGGGTTTTCAATTCCAATCCTATTTAGTGTAGTAATTTATATTTCTTATAATTAGTTAGGATGATTGTCAAATCTGTGTAATTCCCTTTATGAAATAAAATAATGAATATTGAGTGATGTCAGAGACAAAATCTCAGGAATCAAACATGAAAGTTAAATTAATGTAGGATCCTTTTCTTCAAATTTGAAATAAATAGGTTCTTTTATCATGTTTATATGCCTGTCAAAGATTTTAACTGATTTTGAAATTAAACCATAGCAAGAAACAACACTACATGTATTTCATGGTAAAATTAATCTTGTTTATAGTATTGCAGTTACATCAACACTTCCGACATGATGTTATTTAATATTTATTAATTGTACAGGTAAGCTATTTGCTGTTCTGGGTAAAAGAAATGGACGAGTTATTGAAGACGAAATGAGGGAAGGGTCACAAATATTTAACATTATTGCTGCACTACCTGTTGTAGAGAGTTTTGGATTTGCTGATGATATTAGAAAGAAAACAAGTGGGTTAGCTAGCCCACAGCTAATGTTTAGTCACTGGGAGGTATGTATGATCTATGATGGAAGTGGGTTCACTAGTCCACAGCTGGTATTGAGTCATTGGTAGGATCAAATAAAAGTGGGTTCACTAGTCCACAGCTGGTGGGGCGTCAGTGGCTGGGTGGTCTAAGTAGTTTATCTATGGTATCACTAGCCTTTTAACACTGAGGTTGTGAGTTCAAACCCTGCAGGAGGTATCACTAGCCTTTTAACACTGAGGTTGTGAGTTCAAACCCTGCAGGAGGCATTTTTGTTTGACTCTGAACTTAATTGACTAGGATGGCAGTTTTCCTGGTGAAGGTCAGTGGTTCTCTGTGTTTGTCAATGATTTGAAGTTTTTCAATATGTTGAATGAACTTAAAAGCTGTGTCACTTTTTTCTCCACTATAAGTGAACAGAATGAACTCATGGCAAATTTGGAGCCTAAACAAAGTTGAATAACCTTCAGTTTGAGAGTTTTCATTTGTATGATGTCATATTTTGATCGATAATGCACCACGAGCATTCATGGAATTTTGCTGAATTTTATTTTATCACAAGTTTGTACATTTTTCCAAGCTCTAATGCATTAATTCTTTTTATTATACTTCATGTCAAAATGCCAGATTTTGATTGGTTAATACGAGGGAGACAATTACTCTATCCCAAGGGCCATGGCAAATACTCTATTACCCTTCAGGGAGACGCTTGAGCTGCTCAAGTGTGCGCTTTAATAAATACGGATGATTGTTATGTACAAGACGACATAGTATATTACTTTGAATTTTAAATTTTATAGACGATAATAACAGAACATTCAGTATAATAAATTAAATAACACATAGCTGAAAGGGTGATAGAGCAGATTGTTACCCCTCGAAAAGACATTGTCAACCTTGGATTCTCCTCAGTTGACAATGTTTTCTCAGGGTAGCAATCTGCTCTATCACCCTCTCAGCTATGTGTTATTTACATATTGTTATGCATTAGAATAAGAACAACAGTTCTGTAGCTTTTTTTTAGTCCCCTACTAACGAAGTCGAAGGGGACTTTAGGTTTGCACTCTGTCTGTCTGTCTATCTGTCCATCCGTCAGTCCGGGAAATCAGTTTTCCACACTTTTTTTCTTCGTGCTTGAAGATATTGATTTGATATTGGGTGTATTGTTTTATTATGACAAGTTACAGATCAAGTTCTAATTTTGTTCCGGTCTGATGATTTTGTCCAGAGTTATGGTCCTTGGACTTAGAAAATTCACTCAAATAATCAGTTTTCCGCACTTTTTTTCGTCATGCTTGAAGGTATTGATTTGATAATTGATATATAGTTTTATCATGACAAGTTACAGATCAAGTTCGAATTTTGTTCCAGTCTGATGATTATGTGCAGAGTTATGGTCCTTGGACTTAGAAAATTCACTGAAATAATCAGTTTTCAACACTTCTTTTCGTCATGCTTGAAGATATTGACTTGATATTTGTTATATGACATTCTTTGCTTAAAGCTTGCTATTTATGGATTCAGTGAGCCTGCAGTAGGTTTTTTCAGGTCATACCTAAGTAATAGAACACAGCAAGTAAACATTAGCAATGTTAATTCTAATAAAAAAGATGTGAAATTTGGTGTCCCCCAAGGATCTTTACTAGGTCCTCTATTATTTGTCTTATTTATAAATGACCTTCCCCTTTGCATTAAAAATTGTAAAACAGCCTTGTATGCAGATGATACTACTCTTCATAAATCCGGGAAAAACATAGAAAAATTTACATGATGATGTACAAGAAGATTTATGCAGAGTTGAAGAATGGTGCAAAATGAATAATATGTTCATCAATACTTAAAAAAACAAAATGATTGGTTACTGGAATAAGTCAGAAGTTATCAACTCAATCTTTTCAACCAAATTTACAAATAAATTCAGAAATACTACAAAATTCATCATGTGAAAAATTATTAGGTGTTAAAATTGACAGCACACTTAGCTGGACAAATCAAATTGATCAAATTTGTGCTAGCATTTCATCAATAATATACCTTCTTTCTAAACTAAAGAAATTTTTAGATATTAATGCCAGGAAAGCATATTATAATGTGTATATTCTGCCGCTCATCGATTACTGCTGTATTGTTTGGGGAGAATGTAAAAATGAAGGGATAATAAGAATATTAAAACTTCAGAAAAGAGCAGCAAGATTAATTCTTGATGCAGACCCTTTATCCCCATCAACACCCTTATTTAAAGAACTTGGATGGATGACAGTAGAAAATAGAATCAAATACCACAAATATTTACTGCTATATAAATGTATGTGGAAAGAAGCACCACAGTACCTACTTCAAAAGTTTCAACTTATATCTGTTAATAATCCTTATGCTTTAAGGGGTGTTACTAAAGGTAATTTGATAGTTCCTAAGCCAAAAACTGTAATGTTTAAAAAATCTTTTGCTTATTCTGGATCAGTTTTATGGAACGGACTACCATATGAAATGCGTAAAGTGCAAAACACTTTTTGTTTCAAACAAATTATAAAACGATACCTGAGGCAGTCCCAATATTCAGTCTTGAAATGATTGCAACTATTACTTTTTTAGAATGTATGATTTTGATTTGTATATAATATCTATTTACTACATGCACTCTGTAACTGTTTTATATGTTCTAATGGTACATGTACACTGAACTATCATGACTATACGATTGTGAACTGACTATGTGTTAATTTGTTGTATGTTTGCTTTTTTCTCTTATTATTATTTTTTTACTTGTATTGTATATGAGGGCCTCAGGGAAGATTAGTAATTGTAACTAACTGTGTTTACCCTCTTTAAATAAAGAATTTATTATTATTATTATTATTATTATTATTATTATTATATAGTTACACCATGACAAGTTATAGATCAAGTTATCATTTTGTTCCTATACAATGAATTTTTAACTGGTAGGGGACTATGTATTGCCATGCAATACTCTCAGAATGCTTGTTTAATTTCAATTTTAACACATAGTGTTTGTACATGGGTCATGATACATGTGGATTTATGTGGAAGGTAAATTGTAACAGCCATTTATATGTACATTTGATGAGAATTTTATCACGCTTTTGTTTACAAAGAGAAAGGAGCACGTCATATAAGAATCGAGTACAAACCAGGGTATGATCTTATCTCACTAACATGTTATTTTCTGCTAGTTGTTAAACAGCTATCAAGTAATCAATCAATCTATTACAGGTAGTAGATATTGATCCATTCTGGGTACCTACAACAGAGGAGGAATATCTTCATTATGGAGAGAAAGCAGACTCAGAAAACAGAGCACATCACTACATGAATGCTGTACGAAAAAGGAAAGGACTAAAACTGGATAAGAAAATCGTTGAACATGCTGAGAAACAGCGGACATTAACTAAGATGAAGTGAACCTTATGTCCTCACACAAAAACTTTTGATCAGGCTATGACACAGGATTGGAATGCTGTACGCTAACTGAAAGACTTTACATATGCAGAAAACAGAGGGCTCGTTTTTTAATTGATCTCACTTATTACAAACAATTTGATATTTAGATTTTAAAATTCATGTACTAAATTTTTATTTTCTAACTTATTAAAATTTTATGAACTACAATTCTTTTAAGATTTAGTTTATTATACCATTGGAAAAACTTCTGATCATAGAGGTTTTCTGTTTACAGTTTATTATCTGGTAGATGTCCGACCTTTTACTGACAAATCCTTGTTATATGTTTGAATGCAATCACAGGTTTCAATGGTTGTCTTAAATAAAATTGCCAGTGACAAATATTTTTGGCCAGGTTTTTGGGATTGCCTTATACAATAAGCTAGAGGTTTCTTAATTGAGAATTCATATGAACCCTATCAGAAGGACGTGTACAGCTTACAATTATTCCAATTACCAATTATAACTGACCTTTTGCTGTTAATATTTGAGAAACAAACATAATAATGAAAACTTAACATTGACCCATAAAAAGTTAAAATTAGATTAAGGTCAGATGAACCCTGCCGCACAGACATGAACACCTTACAATCATTCCATATGCAAAATATAGTTGACCCTCTGCATATAAATATGAGTTTAAACACCAAAATGTAACATTGATCACTGATCCATGAAATGAGTTCAAGATGAGGTGAACCCTGTCTGGCGGAATAGTATATACCTTGTAATGATTCTATATACCAAATAAAGTTGGCCAATGCTCATAATAAAAGGCTTGATTAAACAAAAGTGCACACTGAAATTTCATTTTTCATCTTTTTTTCTCACCTGCGATAAAAGTCGCATAATGCCAGACATAGGGATCACAATATGGCAGTGGTGGTGTAAACTATTTGTATAAAGCTTTATATTTCAGAAGCAAGAAGACCTGGATGCTTAATACCTTGTATGCAGATACCTTATGTTACGAAGTTTACGTTTTTCATATGTCCATGGTCCTTGACCTCATTTTTATACGACCGTAAAAATTTTGCGGTCGTATATTAGTATCACGTCGTCATCGTCGACGTCCGAAGACACATTGGTTTCCGGACAATAACTTTTGTTTAAGTGTATGGATTTCTATGAAATTTTACCATAAGGTTAATGACCACAAAAGGAAGGTTGGGATTGATTATGGGTGTTATGGTACCAACAGTTAAGGAATTAATGGCCAAAAAGGGGCCAAAAATAAGCATTTTTGTAACTTCCAGACATAACTTGTGTGTTAGTGTATGGATCTCTCTGACATTGTACCACAAGGTTCCATATCACAAAGGGAAAAGCTGGGATTGATTTTGGGGTAACTGCCTCAAAATTTTAGGAATTAGGGGCAAAAAAAGGGGCAAAAAACAAGCATTTTTCTAGTTTCATGACAATAACTTGTGTGTTAGTGTATGGATCTTTATGATATTGTACTACAAGGTTCCATATCACAAAGGAAAAGCTGGAATTGAGTTTGGGGGTAATTGCCCAAAACGTTTAGGAATAAGGGGCCAAAAAGGGGCCAAAAATAAGCATTTTTCTAGTTTCCAGTCAATAACTTGTGTTCAAGTGTATGGATCTCTCTGAAATTGTACTGCAAGGTACCATACCACAAAGGGAAGGCTGGGATTGATTTTGGGGGTAATTGCCTCAACATTTTAGGAATTAGTGGCCAAAAAGGGGCAAAAAACAAGCATTTTTCTAGTTTCGGGACAATAACTTGTGTGTAAGTGTATGGATCTTTATGAAATTGTACTACAAGGTTCCATATCTCAAAGGGAAAGCTGGGTTTGAGTTTGGGGGTAATTGCTCTAAACGTTTAGCAATTTGAGGCCAAAAAGGGTAAAAAAAACAAGCATTTTTCTAGTTTCCAGACAATAACTTGTGTTCAAGTGTATGGATCTCTCTGAAATTGTACTGCAAGGTACCATACCACAAAGGGAAGGCTGGGATTGATTTTGGGGGTGATGAATCATAAGGGGGTTCAAAAAATTGGGGGGGATTTTTTTTCCCTTTTTTTTTTCTTTAAAACTTTCCATTTTAAATTGGTTATTTTCGATATACAACAATGTATATATAAAAGCAAATAATAATGATATGGTTTGAATAGGTAAATTAAAATTTTTTAAGTTCTAAGACCACATTCATTCTGTGTCAGAAACCTATGCTGTGTCAAATATTTAATCACAATCCAAATTCAGTGCTGTATCAAGCTTGAATGATGTGTCCATACTTGCCCCAACTGTTCAGGGTTTGACATCTGCGGTCGTATCCAGCTGCGCCCAGCGGAGCATTTTATTAGAAGTTACTTTTAAATGCTGATGAAGAAATTTTATTTTTAGATATTACTATTAAAAGTTGCTGATGAAAGTTTTTATACGACCGCAAAAAATTCGTCGTCGTCCGAAGACACATTGGTTTTCACACAATAACTTAAGTCTCTATGAAATTTTACCATAAGGTTCAATACCACAAAAGGAAGATTGGGATTGATTTTGGGGGTTATGGTACCAACAGTTAAGGAATTAGGGGCCAAAAATAAGCATTTTTGTCGAGCTGTCGACTTTTGTCGAAAAAGCGAGACATAGCGATCCTACATTCCGTCGGCGTCGTCGTTGGCTGTGTCCTCGAATATTCACTCTGTGGTTAAAGTTTTTGAAATTTTAATAACTTTCTCAAACTATCCTGGATTTCTACCAAACTTGGACAGAAGCTTGTTTATGACCTTAAGATAGTATTCAGAAGTAAATTTTGTAAAAAAAAAATTCCTGTTTTTCCTTATTTTACTTATAAATTGACTTATTTTTCTGCCAGGTAACATTACATTCACTCTGTGGTTAAAGTTTTTGAAATTTTGATAACTTTCTCAAACCATCCGAGATTTTTACCAAACTTGGACAGAAGTTTGTTTATGATCATAAGATAGTATCCAGAAGTAAATTTTTTTAAAAATCCTGTTTTTCTGTATATTACTTATAAATGGACTTAGTTTTTCTGCCAGGAAACATTACATTCACTCTGTGGTTAAAGTTTTTAAAATTTTAATAACTTTCTTAAACTATCCTTGATTTGTACCAAACATGGACAGAAACTTGTTTATGATCAAAAGCTTGTATCTAGAAGGAAATTTTGTAAAAAAAAATTTCCTGTTTTTCGGTATATTACTTATAAATGGACTTAGTTTTTCTTCCAGTTAACATTACATACACCCTGCAGTTAAAGTTTTTAAAACATTTATTAGATTCATAAACTATCCTGGATTTTTACCAAACTTTGACAGAAGCTTCTTACAATAAAAAAAATTGTATCGAGAGGAATATTTTTATTAAATTTTTTCCTCATCTCATTTTTGTTGAGCCTGCGATTAACAGCAAAAGTAGGCGAGACACTGGGTTCCGTGGAACCCATACAAATTTTTGTAACTTCCAGACATAACTTGTGTGTTAGTGTATGGATCTCTCTGACATCCATATCACAAAGGGAATGCTGGGATTGATTTTGGGGGTAATTGCCTCAAAATTTTAGGAATTAGGGGCAAAAAAATGGGCCAAAAAACAAGCATTTTTCTAGTTTCATGACAATAACTTGTGTGTAAGTGTATGGATCTTACTGAAATTATACTACAAGGTTCCATATCACAAAGGAAAAGCTGGAATTGAGTGTGGGGGTAATTGCCCAAAATGTTTAGGAATAAGGGGCTAAAAAGGGGCCAAAAAACACATTTTTCTAGTTTCCAGACAATAACTTGTGTTCAAGTGTATGGATCTCTCTGAAATTGTACTGCAAGGTACCAAACCACAAAGGGAAGGCTGGGATTGATTTTTGGGGTAATTGCCTCAAAATTTTAGGAATTAGGGGGCAAAAAACAAGCATTTTTCTAGTTTCAGAACAATAACTTGTGTGTAAGTGTATGGATCTTTATGAAATTGTACTACAAGGTTCCATATCACAAAGGAAAAGCTAGGATTGATTTTGGGGGTAATTGCCTCAAAATTTAAGGAATCAGTGGGCAAAAAACCAGCATTTTTCTAGTTTCAGGACAATAACTTGTGTGTAAGTGTATGGATCTTTATGAAATTTTACTACAAGGTTCCATATCACAAAGGGAAAGCTGTGTTTGAGTTTGGGGGTAATTGCCCATAACGTTTAGGAATTTGGGGCCAAAAAGGGTAAAAAAAACAAGCATTTTTCTAGTTTCCAGACAATAACTTGTGTTCAAGTATATGGATCTCTCTGAAATTGTACTGCAAGGTACCATTCCACAAAGGGAAGGCTGGGATTGAGTTTGGGGGTGATGAATCATAAGGGGTTTAAAAAATTGGGGGGGGGGGATTATTTTTTTTCCTTTTTTTCTTTAAAATTTTCCATTTTAAATTGGTTATTTTCAAAATATATATAAAAGCAAATAATAATGATATGGTTTGAATAGGTAAATTAAAAATTTTTAAGTTCTTAGACCACATTCATTCTGTGTCAGAAACCTATCCTGTGTCAAATATTTAATCACAATCCAAATTCAGTGCTGTATCAAGCTTGAATGATGTGTCCATACTTGCCCCAACTGTTCAGGGTTTGACCTCTGCGGTCGTATCCAGCTGCGCCCAGGAGCATTTTATTAGAAGTTACTTTTAAATGCTGATGAAGAAATTTTATTTTTTGATATTACTATTAAAAGTTGCTGATGAAGGTTTTTATACGAAAATGTGTCTTCGGGACTGCAAGGTACTATACCACAAAGGGAAGGCTGGGATTGAGTTTGGGGGTGATGAATCATAAGGAGGTTCAAAAATTTGGGGGGGACGGATTTTTTTTTCCCTTTCTTTTTTTTTTTTTCTTTAAAATTTTCCATTTTAAGTTGGTTATTTCTGATTTATATATAAAAGCAAATAATAATGATATTGTTTGATTTCATCAAAATATGAAATATTGGGGTTCTTTGATATGCTGAATATAACCGTGTATTTAGATTCTTAATTTTTGGTCCCTTTTTCAAATTGGTCTACATTAAGGTCCAAAGGGTCCAAAATTAAACTTATTTTGATTTTAACAAAAATTGAATTCTTGGGGTTGTTTGATTTTATGGGCCCAGTTTTCAAGTTGGTCCAAATTGGGGTCCAAAATTACACTTTGTTTGATTTCAA